TTTTAACGCGCAAGTCACTAAACACGGTTAAAACCGTGAACTGAAAAGAAACTCGTGTTGGGAAAACATAATATTATATATCGCGTCGCTGCTAAATATGCGAGTGGAGTCCCATAGCTGTCGACTGTCGTAGAGCTCGGCAGGAATAATGTGTGTGTGTGTGTGTGTGTGTGTGTGTGTGTGAGCGACGGTCGTACGCCGAGAGCGAACACGAACCTCGGTAAAAAAGTATTTTATGCTTTTTTTTTTCAGTGTAAATGTGTAATGATTAATACAAAAGTGTTTCCGACCATTAACGTTTATTTTTTTTTTACTTCCTTGCAATCTTTTGACGTTCATAATTTATGAAGACCAAATCAATGTAGGGTGCATACAGACTTTAAAGTATACGAGTCATTGAGGTCTTAAAAATTAACTATTGACTATAATATTGGTGTGTACGAAGGTACACATAGGTATTAGTGCGTGTTACGACATGATGTGCACTTGATACTTACTGTATAACAGAGGGGTTATCTACTTTTTTCTTTTTTTTTTTTCTAAATACTGAATGGAGCGACGGATGCTGTATTGATTTTACAGCGATGTGTTTTTCTTTTCATTATTATTGGCTAGTTAAAAATGCTTGAACATATTTAATACAAGGTTATAAGTAAAAAGTTTCCAATTATTAGTTAAAAAATATTGAAAATGTATGGATACAATATTTTTTCATAAGTGTTTAAATTTAGAATATTGTAATTTTCAAAAATGTCCAAACCATTTTGTAGTTAAGAATTTACAAAAAATTTTTATTTTATATCGAAGATTTTAAAAATTAATCCTCAGTTTTTCATAAGTTTTTCAATCTATATTACCTGTAAAATAAGTAATAACTATTTCTTCTCATATGCTATTTGATATTTAAATATTTTGTTGTAATTTAAAAATAAATAATAATACTACTTGAACTTTTCAATTTTCATCAAATGTTTATATCATTATTTTCTATATATAATATAATTTTAAAATATATTTTCAACTATTGTTGGACTATTTATAGATATTTGAAATTTCCCATTTTTTTTTTTAGTTTTATTTCCAAGATTTTTATAAATTATAAACATTTTTTCTCTCGATCAAAAAGTTTTAAAATATAAATTATAATATAAGATTCCACGTAAGTAAATAATAAAGTTATTTAAAACACATAAGCACAATTTATTTTTTTAAGCATTTGAAATGTTGCTAAAATTTATAATCAGAAAAGTTTGCAAATTGTTTTGCTGTTTGTTTTGTAGCCAAAGCTTGAATATTTAATACAAAGTTCCTTATAAAAAGCTCATATTGAAACCAAAAAAATATCTAATCACAATTTTTTATAGATATTTGAATCTCAAATTTGGACGAAATCACATATTTAAACTATAAATAACGATATTAATTAATTTTTAATAATTTAAAAGTATTATTTTCGAGGACATAGAACCTTCATGGCTTCATGTACCTTTATTGCTATATTTTTTCACAAAATGACATTTACAGATGTAATATTATCGGAAAATATTAATTCGACTTACTGTATCATTAATTATAAAATGAATTAATCTACCTAATGGTAATATCAAAAAACACCATACGAAATATATTAAAGGTATAATTATTATATGGCTGTTAAACCATCTGTAGCTAATTTGTATTATATTAACATATGTTATGTCAATTAACTATTAAATTATAAACACAAATTATCAATATTATAATACAAATTAGTTTATATTTTATTATATATTAATATACTATGATGATTTGCGCATGTTGCTTATAATATCTCAATATCTGAGCAAATATACGTATTACGTATACACATTTTACATTCATTGGATATGTTATCATTCATGTACCTATTTCACACTGAACAGTCTCCGAATTTTTTTCCGTATACACTTTACATTGATATTGATATACATCGTTAAATTCAAATTAAACATATCTATCTCACTCGAAGCTTATTATAGTTTTACTGTATATCAGAATGGTACTCATTTGTTCACATTTTTTTAAATTTCATTTTTGTTTTTTGATCAAATAAGCTGGCTTGTCAGCAGATGTTTGAATAAGTTGTCTGAAAAGTTGCCTTGTAAATATGGTAGAATACGTTCATAAATAAGCGGTATCTTAAATATTCATTAGGACTAGGAGGTTGTTTGTATGTTTTTCAATAATCTTTTAAGACATAGCCAAGTGTTATAGAAATTTATTTCATAATACTATATGAGTTAAAGGCAATTTTTATTTTAATTTTAGATACTTTGGTCGTTTTTCTCTTTACATAATACCATTGAACATATTTTGTTGTATTTGTATTTTAAACACATTTTTCACACATTATATAATGTTTAATATTTAGAATTAGTTTTTAAGGTACAAAAAGTGCTCGTTTCAATTCAACAATATTTAAAAAATTGTAGTTATGCAATATGTTTGTTCTCTGGGTAAAAGTTTAATAATTATTTGATCATAAATTGATAAACACAATAATATGCATTTATAATTGAACATTTTGTTTTAATTAAAAGCAAGCTCGAGAAAGAATAATAAATACATGTTAATTTTATAATTTTAAATTGTTTGATTTTTTTTTCATTAGGAAATAAAATATATTTAAGAGCTTATTTAAACAATTTTGTTTATTATTAGAACATATTATACCTATGGTAAATTTTCAGTACATAATTTATATATATATTTTTTTAATGTTTTTTTAGAAAACAATACGTACCTACATCATTGAACGTTAATATCAAGTATTTTTTTGTACTGTTACTAGTGTTACTTACTATGTTTCCTACAAATGTATACTCGCCACTCGGGTAACATGAAATAAATGCTCTCTAAGACTCTAACACATACAAATTAATTATAGTAGGTACGTACTGGTACTGCATTATCAAATATGAATACCTGAACGGCGAACGCAGACAACTACTGTGTGATGTATATCCAAACACACAAAATATTGATTCCAATAATGCATTAAAAATAATCGATTGCCTCAAGCATACATAACTTAAATGGTGGGAAGAGCTACAGCTGGGACAATAATATTGCTCAATAATTAAAATTTCAAGACTAGAACACTGACCAACTGACCTACACCTCTTAGTGGAATTAAAAGTAGGTATTATAAATTTAACGCTCATCGATTTCATTTTACTTATTGTTTTCAGATTATTTAAGCTGTTGATAATATGCAATGATTTAAAATGTAAATTGATGGTTTTATTATTAATAAACTATTTTGTTTTGTGTATATTTGATTATCAATTTGTACTACATGTGTTGTAATGCATCTTATATCTATATTATAAGAACTAATAGATACATTTTAAGATATAATTATTAAAATATTTTTTTTTTGACAAAAGTATATTAAGAATGTGAATATTCCAGGCGATCAGATTGATTGTACCATTTATTTTAGAATTTATTACTATTTGTTAAATACCCATTATCTATTAAACTTATTTTGATAAACTGTGATGCATCATGAAATTATTTATCAGTATGTATTTGTTTACATTTATATTTGCTAAAATCGAATTCATTTTGACATCAGATGGTATTAATAAAAATATTTTTCAAGAGACAATAAGATACAAATTTTGTAACGAACTAGAATACGATTGAACCACGTGAATAAATTAACAACGATTATTTAATATCTGTCATTATGTGATACTCACAACATTAAATCAAAATTTAGTGCTAATATGTTGGATTAATACATTGAACATCAAGCTATTAAACAAGTATGTGTAAATTAAAAAAAGTATTACAATATCATGTTTATGATTTTTGGGTTTCATTTGATTGAACTGTCATACACTTTGATTTGTTTTTAGTTACTAATGTATGGGCATGTTTACGGGTGTTGATAAATATACTATAGCAATACCTATATTTTTGTTGTAGATTATTATTTATTAAGGTAGGTATACATAATTTTGTAGATACCTTGGCTTAAAATATAAAACAGTTTGAATTTTATTTTTCTTTAAATTTGATGCATTCAATTTTAAAGTTAATCGTGAAAGTAAGTGTAATTATTCAGGCAAAACAACTTAATTTGTTGTCATCTGTTTAATTAATCACTTCTTTTTTATCACTCTCCAAAGCTTTCTGTCTAAATTTATTTGAGGAAATAGTTCCGTTATGTACTTAAAAATATATATAAATATTTCAGAAGTCTGGGAAAGGAAAGTATTATATTTTTTGTAAAGTAAAGATAGTACATCTCAGATATTTTATGAAACTATAAAACAGGAAATCACAGTTAACTGCTATAATACAGCACTTAATAGTATGATAAGTGGATTGAAATGATCGAATGGTAGATTTAATCTGGAAACCTATGATATTATTTGTTTTGTTGGTAATGTCTTGCAACTTATTCCAACGGTTGAAAATATTAAACTATTCAGTAAAATTATTTAAAATTGATAAGGATTATCTAGAACAGGAAATTAAACTTCTTAAAAGATTTACTGGCATTCATTCATTGTGAATAATCTACAACAACTATAGATCAATAGTTAGATTGGATACAACAATTGGATCAAATAAAAAATTTTTTTAAATGTTTTAATATGTTGATCATTATTTTTAGTCATTTCAGTCACATTTTGTTTTTGTGGAAGATGTTTTTCAAAACTGACTATTGTTTAAAATTTTATAATACACAAAATGGAATTGAAGTTTTATAACTAGTGTTTATTCAGCAACAATTATGATTATAAATTTACTATAATGATATAATGATATAATTGTTAAATTCAAAAATATTATTCTTCACAACAGACATTTGATATTATAATATTTTCAATTTGTAATTTTATAAAATAATTAAATTAAATTATTTTATGCTATGATAATATAAGAAAAATTTGCATATTTGATAATAATTATAAATTATAATACTATTATACAGTAAAAAAATCTTTTATTAGTGTTAAATTTATTTTTGATAAAAAAAAAAAATTCAAATTTTGAAAACATTTGGTACATTTCAGCAACACCTGATATAAAAGTCTGGCTACACCTAAATAAAAATAATGTAAGGTTTTCTATACACATTCAGCGGATGGTGAAATCCTCCAGTTGGATCATAAACCATGGTAAGAGTTTCACAGTGGGCAAAACCAACTTCATTCAACAGATAGTCAGCAAACATTTGAGGTTTCAGTTTTATGTTTTTGTAATTTTTCCAAATGGTTTTCTAAAATTATGCATTAAACACAATTAATAAATATTCTACTTGATTATTAACATCATCATCATATTTACTGTCAATGTTTTTCTACGACCATATGATTTCCATGGCTGATGCTCTACCACAAGTACTCCACCAGGTTGCAACTGTGCATACATGCGTTGGAATGCTAATTTTAAACCGTCATCACCCCAGTTCAAATGAATCCACTTTGTAACGCTAAAACAGAGAATAACGTCGTACTTACGTGTTTCTCTTGCAAGTAGACTATCACATTTTAGTACATAATTTCCCTGTAACATATTACCTTTGTTATAAACCTTAACTTATAAAATTGTCATATATTTTGTGCTATACTAACCTTTATAAACGATACATTGTATGGAAATCTTACAGATATTGGCATACCTGGCACTGGATTGCTATAGTAATGCTGTAAATTTTGACGTGCAATACTTATTGAATCAGGATCGATATCCATCCCTACAACTGACTTTACACCAAAATCTCTAGCAAGACTAAATGTCACATGACCAATATTACAGCCAATATCCAACACAGCCTGACCATAAAATAAATTTAAATGGTAAGCTAACACATTCAGCCTAACATCTTTATCATCTGGATTACGATAAACATATCTACAAAAGAAATAATATGCATTACAACAAATGTTTTATGAAAGTATCATGTTGTGGCATATTTATATTTAACAATTTATTTAAATTAAAGACCAGGGTAGGACCAATACAAAAAATTTTAATATAACATATATAACATATATTTACCCAATATAGGGTAAATAATTTTCAATTCAACAGTAGTCTTACCTGTTATGATTTCCATACTTAATCAACTCATTTTTTTTATCAAACTTGGGTTTGTTTTTATTATTTTTTCGTTTCAATTTAGCTGATGTCTGAACAGCCTTCTGAGGTTTGGTGTATGTTTCTATGAATTCGGGCACCATAATGATTGGACTTACTTATATTACTTTATAATATAAATAGTATGGCTGGTATTAAAATGTTAACCATTGAAATGAGTCAATCTAGTGCTCGCATCACAGCTTAAGACATTACATCTGTAAACAAAAATTGACGATAGAATAACATTAACAATTTGCATTATCAATTTTCCTACAGACATATGAAATAGTGCAATGGATAGTGTTATACATACTTGCTACAAAATAAGACACAGCTCTTACAATTATCTGTCAAGCATCAACAGGAGGTTCGGAGGTCGTAAAATTCAACAATGGATTATAGTTGTATTAAACAGATATATAAGTGATAAAACCAACTTAGTGACTTCTTTCTTTATGGTTCGTAGTATTATTATATCAAGAACATAAATTTTTATGAGGACGTGTAATACATAACTGCCAACCTGTTGTCTGTTGTTCAGTATTGTGCGTGTTCTTGGCTCGCCGCAGTATTGCCAACTATCGGCGAAATTCGTTGCTACGCGTGTCTCCGGGCTCGTCGTTTACGGTCGTAGATTTCGATTAAGAATTAGGATTTACCATAGATAATAAAAGAATTTAAGAATGGATAGGCCTTTCCAATATTAACAACATAGGTGTCTATAGATATATTAATACATTATAAATTATAATCAAATACATTCAATGAAAAAAATAATATTATTTTCAATAGTTATTTGAAACAAAATTAAAGTCTATAGTCTAATATTATTAAAAACCATACTTCAATTTTTTTTAAATTATCTCACATTATTATTTATACTAAATGAAACGTCAAAGAAATTAAAATAACATCTTTTTATTATTATAATTTCTATTAGGTATGTTGGTTTTACATTACAATAAAATATATCTACTCATTTCTAATACTTATAGTCCGTATAGGTTGTTAATTGTAGGTTTGTGAATGAATTATTTTGGTATAAATTTTAATAATTAGTAGGAACAAAATAATTTTATAAGTTACAGCGATCAAAGATTTATGCAAATATGAAAAATTTATATTACAATGAAAAACTGTATCACTGTTTTTTACTAATGAATGAATTTTAAATCACGTATTGGTTTTTACTTTTTTATCTCAAGTAATTTATTTATGTCTTATTGTTTTTATTGCTGAATTTAATACATTTTAATGCATTGTGTTAGACCTAATAAGTTAAGATGTTAGTGATAATAAAGTGTTGGAAAACTTACAAAGATTGATTAAAGTTAGATATTCTGTTCTTAAATTTTATACATATGATTTCAATAATTAAAAAAAAAAGAAAAAACGATCATATGATGTATTACATATTATAGGTAATTTATATTTAGCTATATTATTTTGCGTATGAATAATTAATAAAATATGTATAAAAAATTTACATTTCAATAAAATAAAATAACGTTGGTTCTTGTTATAGTTATACTATATTCTAATTGAAATATTCTTATATGAAAAATACTTATTTTAATCATATAGGTAATTTATTTAAAATTTCTTAATTTCAACATAATATATGTTTCACAGTCTCGCACATTCACACTATTTGGCTCAATTAAATTTTTACTCATTTCACTATCTAATAAGTACCTAAACTAATCTTTTATAATAATTTTACACAACATAATGAATAATCTTAATTTTCAGCATTCTTAATTATCTAAACTTAAACATAATCAAGTTATTATTGTGCAGTTTATTTGATAATGACTTTATTGTGGAAATATTTTTTTTTAAGTCCGTTTGGTATATATAAATAATAATTTAAAAAAAAATTAAATGTATAAAATTATTATTTGAAAAAAATAAGTTTTGCTCTAGGAGTGGATTCTTCTTTTGTTTTCTCTAACTTTGGTATTAGTGGGATATTATCAAGATCGCACAAAGGAATATGCTTATGAATCTTAATTCTAGGCTTTGATTCGTCTATCTTTAATACTACTGGGCGTATGATCGATCGAGTTTTAGTTTTCATAAATTCTTCGTGTATGTCGTGTAAAGGTTGATCTGGGCATTTTTTGTCGTGTATATTCCTCTTGCCTTTTTTACCTCGTGTATCACGTTGCTGTCTTAACAATTCTAGTTTTTCCCATATTACCGGTGACCGTAAACTTGAATTAACGCCATCCTTCAAAACTTGAATTGTAGTGAATGACGCTTGCCGTTTGATGTCCGGAGGTATGCTACATCGCGGTGAAACATTTACCGGGCGGGTTCTTGGTATGTCTGGCCATGCCATTCCTAAAAGTTTAAAATAATCGTTTATTTATTTAATATTTATATACTCCGTAATCCCAGAAATATTTTTTAAGTTAATCTGTGGACATTAAAATGGATTACTTTTAAAATACTTTGATGGGTAATGAGATATTTTTTAAGCATGCACAACAAATTTTTTAAGTAAAAATTTCTATTATAGATATTGTCAAGTTGAGTGATAATGAATAAAGTATTTGTTTTATATAATATAAAATATATGTGTTTTGTGTCTGTATCACTTTTTAAAACAGTTAAAATGCTTCTATTCTCAACTTTGAGAGTGGTTTATGGTAACAAATGTTATAAAGTATAAGTAAATAGTTTTTTAAGAGAGAGTGGTGAATGCAAATTAAATAAAAATTACAAGTATATTTCAATGAATTTGGGAAAAGGATATTGCAAAACCAGATTTTGTCTAAAAATTTATATCATTCATATCATAATTTAATAGATATGATATGAATTTCAAAATATTTTAGCTTTTTTTGTGGTTACTATTTATAAATATTTGAATTTTTTTATTTTTTGCAATCGTGTATAATTAAATATTATTGTTAAGTATAAAAACTTTAAAATCTTATTCTAAATTCCTCATAAGTTGTTGTGATAACAATAAAATAATATCAAAAATATATAGTGAATTTTTTTTATAAGCATTTATGAAATTAAAAATATGTAATTAATATTATAATTTATAAGTAATAAAATTTAAAATTTTAACATCTCAGGCTTAAAATTATGATATTATTTTAGTATATTACAATTAAAAATTTCTCTTATTTATTTTTACTGTAAGTATCTATAAAAAAGAAAAAATTCCATTCAAATAAACAGAGGATTGAGTAACTTTATAAATTAATTTTTTTTGCTTATCAATTATAAAATAATATTCCATTAAAATTATATTGCGTGTACCTAATAATTAGTAAATTAGTAATAATTAGCGTAATAATTAGTTAATTATTTCTAAGAATAAATATAAATATATATCTTATAGTTAATACCACAATATCATTGTAATTATCATAGGTTTTTGTCATAATTTTAAGAAAGCAATATAATTCTATCATGAAAGTTTTTTTTAAATTATCATAAATATTGTCATATGATTACTGATTTATTAGTCATTTTGCAAAAATTATAAAAAATGATTTTTACTGGAGCGTATACTAATGTACAATAAACTATTTTGAACCTATTTAATGAAAAAATAAATGTTATATTTCAATTTGTTTCAGACTTGCTTCGAGCCAGTTTGCTAATTTCCTCCTTTTCGCAGTTAATAATATGCACTTTTTTCCAAAGGCACTTTATATTGCATACTAATATATAATATATTATATTACTATATCAGTAATTCAAAATCACAATATGGGTTATGTTTTATCCAAAAAGTATCTACGGTCTACTTATAATTCTGTTTTAATTTAATAAATGTATAATATTATTTATTATTATTGATGCAAATTCATAATTATTACTACTTTAATTGTTGAGGCATTAATATTGTTAAAATAAATTAATTAAAAATTAATATTTTTAGTTTTTAAAAAATATTTAAAAATCTATAAAAAAATCACATAAATACAAATCTCTATAAAAGAAAAGTAGCCAACGGCACTTGAAATTTTAATTTGAAATAAAAAAAAATGCCAACGGCACGTAGTGTTCCCAAGCGGTCACCCATCCAAGTACTAACTACGCCCGACGTTGCTTAACTTCAGTGATCGGACGAGAACTGGTGTATTCAACGTGGTATGGTCGTTGGCGATAGGCAAGTATTACCTAAGTATAAATAAGTTATCTATGTAATATTTAGTATTTAAATAATTGTTCAAGTACCTATTATTTATTAAATAATAAATACTATGTAATAATGAATAATATTTAATACTATTTTACTGTATTAAATACTTTCTTCCAAATGATTTTTTTTTTTTTACTTAATTTTAAATAATATGTAGATACTTATCTCGGTGTTTGTAATTGTTGCAAAAATAAACATTATAAATTCATAACCAAAACATTTTACTATTGCTAATATGATTGATATAGTGATATCTGATACAAATTTTGAACAATTAATAATTTTAATATGTAACAAAAATTATGTATGATTTAATTTAATAATTAACATTTAACACGATGATAGTACTGGTAGTATGTACCTAAATATACACACACATTAATTAATCCAAATTATTATATTAATTTTATTAACAAAAGATTTTCGTTTTAATTTTTAATTTGAATATCTAAATTAATAGTAATCTAGTTAATATATAAACGATATTGTTGGTTAATAATTAATACGATTGGTGTTATAACAAACACATTTTTATAAAGCCCACATAGATAAGTAGTGGGTTTTGAGAACATAGTAAATAGTAAACTAGATACTATTTTGTAGACTTTTTTGAAATTCAACCTTAAAGAAAGTTTTGGTGATATTTACAATTAGAAAATGTATTTTTAAAAAGCTATATCTTAAATGAATAATTTAATAAATGATAATAAAAAAGTATTTAAAATTTATCTCAAATTTTCTGATACATTTTTAAAATAAATTTAAATTTAATGAACCTATATAATTAAATTGCATATTGTATATATTATCATAGTATATGTATATTGTTTTTAATTACTTACTATAGACATTTATTTCCATATTAGTGATACAATAGAAACTATAAATAGACAATAGATAAAATAGATTAAAGTTCATAAGTTTTGAAAATTTCATTATTTATATTTAATAAAGTAATATACCATATACCTATGTCCTACGTAAATGTTTCAAGCTTTTAAAATAACATTAAAACGCTCACCAAAAATAATTATGGGTTTACGACGTTTACGTTCAATTTTTTGAATTCTAGCAATATAAATTTATGAAAAATCCATTGTATTGAATTTTCAAAATTTTTGACGAGCAAAAAAATGCTAATCGGCATTTACAGAAAAAAATTTAAATGAAAAATGTCTATATTTTATGATATATACATATACTATATATAGAAAATATTAATATAAGTATTTTTTGAAAATGTCACGTATCTATTTAATCCGATTATTTTAAAGAGTAAGTACTAGGAATTTTCTATTTTTACCTCCTTAAGTACCAGCTAGACCCAATATTTTATCACTTATCAGAAATCAACCACAAAATTGAAAATTGAAAGATTTTTTTTTCTTTAATAAACTATGTACCTATTATATAAATATACTCTAAACATAAATACTGGATGTGGCTCAAATAAAAAATAGTTTGATGTTAAACTTTTTATGAGCGATTAGCGTTCACATTTTTACCATATCTCTCGGAAATTCAATAATAAAATAATGATTTTTCCTTGAACAATTTTTGTTCTTCTTATTTAAACTTTTACATTTTCTATACATAATGATATGATCAAAATCATTTTATTAATTTTAACTACCTATCTATAAACATAGAAGTATACAATACATCCACTTACTAATAAAAATACCCGTCATACCGTGTGAGTATAAGTATCAATTATCTGTAATTTGTTATAGTAGGGAATAAAACGTATAATGATTAACTGAAACCTGAGTCCTTGTTATTTAAATAAATGTAAGATTCTGTTTTTTTTTATTTATTATACACTAAATTTTAGTCATAGTACCTATATATATATATATATATAATATATTTACAAGATCCAACTACCTTCTTTAGATATTTGATGTTGAACTTTTCCCTACCCTAGTCACGTTAAAGTATTTATCATATCGTTAAGCATTTACCCAAAGTTCCTACGTAATGACCAGCCAATGTCCAGATACGGATCATCTTGTCCACACTGCTACTGACTACTAACTCTAGTTTTTCGATGAATTCGATGTGATTGATGCGCTGCAAGTGTGCCCTGTACGCACTGACTAACAGTGGGCCAGCAACGTTCTTAGAGGCGGCACGCTCGGCTCGACCCATGAAGAATATAACTATCAGAAACGGAAAACGTAATCTAAGCGATGGCATATCCACGTTGTAAATTGTGTGTCTTGGCTGTCCAAAGTTGGTCACCAGCCACGTCTTGATGTATCCGCTTTCAAAGCTCGTGATCAAATATTCACTCTTTGGGTCTGATACCATCGACGTAACATAATCATCAGTGATGTGTATAGCCACAAACTGACTAATGTACTTTGGAACTTTGTACGTGCACCATATTTGCACCACGCCATTACGTGTGGCCACGAGTAGGGTACCAAGGTTTAATTTTTCTGGCCGGGCCCGTAGGAAATGTGTGGCAACTGCCGCGTAATGCTCACGGGGCGTGTGCTTGATATCCAACCTCTTGAACTTCTCTTCTTTGGTTTCCGTGGCACCATCGTCTCCTATTCGGCTGCCAACATACGATATGGAACTTATCTGGCTTTTACTCACCATCGTGGATGCCCCCTGACTCTTGCTCGTTGACGACGAGCTTTTAGACTTCCGGGTATCCGGCTTCATACGCGCTTTGTATTTTTTGGTCAACTGTCCTGTCTCTAGCCGCCAAAAACCCATCACGCCCGCCTGTGACGTAGTCACGAAAAGCGACGGTAGCTTGACGCACGCGCTCAACACCGGCTCGTCATGGTTGGACAGCCATACTTTTCCTTTGGACAGTAACAGTGGGTCGTTGAATTCGGTCACCCGATGATCGAAACCGGTCACCAGTACCTGGAATACGAACAAAATGACGTAATATACCTACTCACTGCTAATTATAATATTTGTTTTACACTTTCAAAGCGGACGGTTTACGCGGTTATTTTATAGTTTTTAAAAATATGTAGGCGGTGTTTACTGCGATGTCGATATTGCAGTTTATTAGTATGAAATTGATTTTACTATATGATAAATCACCATATAAAATATACACCTTGTTGGGCAACCAGAACACTTCGGATATCCGGCCGCCGGACGGGATCCGTAGTCGGTTAAGACACACGCCAGTGTTTAGGTCCCACATGTGAACACTGCCGTTGACCGCGCCGGTGACGAGCAGACCGCCGGACGGGTCGAAGTTGGCAGCGGTGATCTCGACCGGCAGGACCTCGCAGTACACCTCCTCGGTGTGCGCCATGGACCACTTGATGACCACGTCGCCGGTGCGCAAGTTCCACACGGATATGGACGAGTCGGCGGCGGACGCGGATATCAACACCTGGTAGAGCGCGTTGTACAGGGTCTTGACGACGGGCGTCTCGTGCGACTTGTCGTCGTGCAGCCCGGACAACTTATGGCCGGTGACCGTCGGTCTGGCGCACTCGACCGTCATGAACGACCTGTGATCGTCGGCCACGCACACGATGGTCTGGTCGGTCCAGTTGAAGTGCATCACGGCGAACGGCCAACGCTGGCTGTCGTTCGGTTCCGCGGCCACCGTCAGCCCGGCGAACGTCAACAGGCACGTGGCCCTGCGCAGGTCCCACACCTTGACCACGCAGTCCGTGGACACGGAGTACAGGTGCTCGTTGGCCGCGTTGTGCGACACGCGCCGCACAGCCCAGCTGTGGCCCAGCAGCGTGGTGCAGTCCGCGGGGCCCGGCGCTCGGCCGCCCGCGGTGTTCCACAGCCTCACGAACCGGTCCGCGCTGCCGGTGGCCAGGTGCGTGCCGCGGACCGCGCACACGCAGTTGAAGCCCGTGAAGTGGGCGTACTGGACGGCCGACGGGTCGGCGGCCGGCGGGCCGCGGGCTTCGCACTGGTCCGGTGCACGCGACACCGGGCCATCGCCAGGCGGTTGGACAGCGACACGGACGCGAACGACCTGCGGCGTCGTAGAACGCGATCTGCTCGACCGGCTTGTCGTGCAGCCTGTGGTATTGGTACGCGCGGACGCGGCGGCCGGCGCGGCCGACGTCTCGCTCAGCAACCGGTCGAAGTCGTACGCGGGCGTCTGGTCCGCGTCGCCGCCCGACCTGCAGTCCTTGAACGGGTTCCACTTGTCGGACGACGTGAACTCGAGCACGCTCACGGTGCCCAGCCCGTCGCCGACCGCGATTTTCGACGAGCCGACTCCCCGGCGGTCGCAGTACGCGTACGCGTGCGCCAGATGAGTGGTCAGCGTGCACGCCCACAGCTCGACGACGACGCACAGCTTGAACTGGCCGGACGACATGTCGTAGAACAGCAGTTGGCCGCCGACCAGCGACAGGCAGACGACGCCGAACTCCGGCATCGCCACCAAACCGTTGACCATGATCGGCGTCACGTCCTGTGCCGCGCGCATGTTATGATATTATTATTAGGTATTGCGTTATGTTCGCCGCACGTTTATGCGCAGAAGTCAACGCGCACTGAGGGGACGTCTGAGGTTAACTCCGTCTTAGGCGCGCGTACGAGACGGCAAAAGTTCGTTCGGCAGTTTCATTAGCGTGCTTTAAGTTTTGACGTTAGAGTGAATTGACCTGTTATCTACAGACCGTCGGGCGAGGTAACGTTATCCGTGTTCTCTCGTCGGTTTTTTACGATATTTTCATTTTTAAGTGAGTTATATGACTTATGATAGTAGGCTCGTGAATTCAATGCACTGAGAAACCTTAAGAAATGCACTATGAACGTCAAAAAAATGCAAAACTAAGAGCACGACTAAAACTTATATTAAAACTAAAAGTACACTATTGAAACTGGCGAACAAAAATTTACCATGTCGTACGTGCGTAAGACGGAGACAACACATGCGGGTGCGACGTCCTAGATTATTATTAACTCAATTCGCAATGAGTTAATGCGAATTATAATTTTATTTTTATTTTAATATTATTTTTAAATATTATTATTTACAGTAAACGGTGTCTAAAGGATTCGCGCGACGATGCAACGGCTTTGTTGTCTGTGTGAGCTTGAGACTCGACCGTTATGCGCGTAGTAAATGCGACAACGGAGTGCGGACAAAACTCATAGTCGTTTTAGATAAAAAATATTCGATTCTTCTCGAATCGTCGTGAAACCGACCGTGTAAATACATTTTCAGATTTGTTTTTTTTTTTATTTTAGATTCTGAGCGGAGGGATGAGTGTACTTATACATAGATTGATTACGAAGACGCGTGTGTATGTATTTTTCTTTTTTGTGTATGAGCACACGACGGGTAATCCTTGCAAATTTAATACGAGATCTTACATAAGTTGTCCTTGTATCTTTATAAAAATATTAAAAACACATCTTAAAATTTTTATTTATATTTTATTGTTATAAATTTCTCTATACTCAAAGACATTTTTGATTTTTTTTTTTTTAAAGCTATTATCTGCATTTATAATTTATATTATAGGTAAATCTTTTTTTACTGTTTTACGGCATTTATAGAAAAATGCTAATACATTTTGAGTTATATAAGTTGATATAATAATGCGGGAAAAATAAATATTATTATAATAATTAAATATTAATAATATAATAAATGTAATATTTTCGGAAAAAATTGTATCAACCTACCGTGATATTTAAAGTAAAATAAATTACTTTTATAGCTATGCATATCAAGAATCATTTTCGTACACATTGATATATCATTGAATTCGAATTTAACATATACCCATAATAGTGATTCATTCGACACCCAATGTATAGCAAAGGGGTTAGCCACTTGCCTACAAATAATACTTGAGTTTTTTTAGTATGTATGTATAATGCTTAAAATGTAAAATGATTTATGCATAAATAAACTATAAGAAGAAAAAAAGAATTAATATTAATATTATGAGGGCCAATAATATGATAGTACATTATGATTATCGGTTTTATAATATATAAATATAAAAATCAAAATAATTTAGAATCCTTACGTTGTAAACTGCGTTCAATTTTATAAACAGTTGTTAGTATAAGTTACCGATTTTAATAATCGTTATTAAAACTTTAGTTAGGTATGTTTTTATTCGAGGCAACTGGCAATGTAAAATGATAACGAACCGTTAGTGATAAGGAAAATGAGCTTACATGTTTGCTGTACATTTATCTCAGTTCTTACTTCTTAAGCAGTTACGCCTACAGCCTATAATCTTCGTATAATAATATATTTGTATACCATTAAATATAATATTATTATATTACCGAAACGATTTGGTGTGTACTTTTCCATTGCATGTCTGCTGCTTTGTAACGAACAATTTTCCCCGTTACACTGGCAGCTATGTATTCAGGATCGTCGAGTTCTTTTTGAGATTGTTTTGTTTGGTTTAGAAAGAATGCGATATCTATATACCGAATTATGCCTTTTTCTCCATATTTGATTGGTTTATTCGGTAATAATTTTGGGGTTAATCTTGATAATTCAGTGTCGTCGTTTGATAAAAATGCATTATGTTTACGCTTTATTTCAAATTCTGACCCTAAATAAGTAACGAATTGTAAAAAATTGACGGTGCCCTTTTTTTTAACATCAATTTTAGAAAACATTGGGTGGAAATTTTTATTCGAATAAACTATATTGTATGGTTTCAAAATATCACGCAATTGGTTTTCTTTTACATTTCCATTAACATATTTCAGAAAGCTTTGTCGAATATCATTTAATGCCGTCTCATTAACTTGTTTCATTAAATTATTTAAATATATTTTCATTCCATTAATATCTTCTAAATTTTCATCGCTTTCATCATCACTAGTATCCTTGACGTAATAATAAAATAAATTCAATTATTAGAAGTATTCATTTAAAATGTATAATATAATTATTAAACTTATTGATGTCTTAAAACAAATATCAACGAATTAATAAAAATAATTTTATGATATATATATATATTAAATATTTATAACTAAATTATCATATTACCTAACACACAGAGAACAATTTACAAGCTACGTATTAATTATTAATTAATATGATAAAAATCTTTTAATAATATTTTGATTGATAGCTGATAATATATAAAGAAAAATTAGTTTGAATACATTTTTGCGTGAGTTTCAAATTAACATTAGACTGTATACAAAGATACATTTTCACCATTTTACATTTGTCGTAAGGATAATATTTGTATCATGGTCAAAGTCAACCTAACGACGGAACGGAATAAAAGAAAAAATCGTGTCGAAAGCATGCCATGAAAATATCTAAGTTGGTTGTCATGGAATTAAAAAAGTTTCAATAAATAAAAAGTATATGTAACACATCTTTATACTTATAAATTGTATATATTTTAATCGTTTTGGTAACACTAATTAAAAACGAAATAACTTGATGATTATCTGCAATATGTAGTAAGTAGGTACCTTACACAATTAAAAAATCCGATAAAAAAAAAAAGATTACAGAAATCAACTTATATTGCATTTGGAACATTTTAGGGATACCTATGCCGTAATAATTGTTTTACTCGTTTCAAAAACTAAATCCATAGTTATATTTCTAACAACAAATTGTTTAAGGTACCGTTTTTGTTTTTGTGAGCTCAAAATATGTAAGGCACTATCGCCATTTTATATAAAAAAAAAAACCATATTAAAATTAAACATCATCCTGCTATTAAAAACATTTAATATTACCTTTCATTATAATGAAAAGTTAATATAATATTTATATTTCGTTATTTTTCATCCTTTATACTACTTGAAACTACTATTGAAAATTCGGAACTTACATACTTCAGGATAATAATATACAAACGAAAATTACAACACATAAGTACTTTCGCAACATTCGCATTGTAAATAAAGCGCCCTTTAACTTAAACGCGAACATTCGTTCAAAACTAAATACAACGAATTTCGAGCGAACGTTCGCGTCATATGAAACCGGCTTTATAACAAATAGGACAAGTTTCTCAACACTACCATTCTCTCTACGCTTGTTTATTTCTAGTGTTTTATACAGTTTTATACTTGTACTTATTTGGTACACTTTTACATTAGTTTTAATTTAGTGTTTATCCCGTCATACACACATGCCAAATAAATAAATATCTTACCATTATATCTTTTCTTGCTAAAATAAAACTTCAAATTCTAGGTAATATTAAATTTAAATTATTAAGTAAACTTTCAAAAATTATCATTAACAAATAATAGTTATGCGAAAATTAAAAATATATAGGGACCTATATTTTTAATGGTTGCTTAGCATTTTATTTATACGCATTTATAAATTTTCTTTTAAAATGTCCCAGAATACTTTATAAAATATAAAACAAGTGTATATTAAATTAATATAATATATATGATTTTTTCTTGATAATTTGTAGTAAGACAAGGGAACGCTATTCCATTATATCATACTATACAAGCAGAAGTGCCACATGGTAGCGACTATCACTAATTTATTGTAAAATATTTAAAAAAAAATTAAGTTATGTTAATTATATTTTCGATCGTTTTAAAATAATCTACTATCGACCATAGTTAAATGTAGCTATTTATAAACTATGTAATTAAGTCAGTATCTGTTTTATAAATGGCGTAATATGTTATTTAAACAGGTATTTATAATAGTATATTGATATTATATATTATTTGTATTTTTTTGATCATTTGATGATATAATATAGTTGCAGTTTATTGATACATAACGCAGATATTTTATTTTATTTTTTTTAAACATACCATATCTAAGTTCAAAATTATACAGATTAACTAGAAATTCATAGAAATATTCTAAATGATATAAATAATAGAAATATTTGAATCACGTATAATTATTATTGCTGTTGTTGATACTCGTAATCTTCTGAGCAAAAAATAGTGTAAAAACATACTTTAAGAATAGACAATAGTTAAAAATATAGTCTAGAAACATCGTAATGACACTGATAATACTAGTAGTTGCATGTTATTATTTTAATATAAATTTAAAATGATATAATAATTGTTTATTCTTTAGTTTTTTTTTAAAATTGAATATTTTTTACTTTAAAAAGTATAAATAAACATTAAATACAATTTTAAATTGATAACGCTGGACCTTGGAGAAATGTCCATTCTTTACTTTTCCTCATAAATCGAGCTCACATGCAATTTTATTAAATTTATAGCACTGATTTAAAGCAGGTAAACACGAACCATTTTACTTATTTTCTTTATTAGAATAATATTGATTTATTGTCCAGCTAAGTATCCAGATTATTAGTTAAATAACTGGAAGATTGATAACATTATAAATTTATTATTTAGTTTTCAGTTACTAAAAAGCTTACGGAAAGCTCAAATGCTATATTCTTATTTTTTCAAAAACTTAAATCTGGTTATAAAATAAAATAAGTTTTACACAAATCATAAATTATTTTAAAATATTTACTCTAAAATTATTGTTTACCTTTTCTTTTTTCTTTTTAACATCATCAAATATCGTTTAGATATCTAGACATCAAAAATTACAAAATATTTTAAAATATTGAAATTCAATACTTATTGTGTATTATACTTACAGAAAAGTATATTATTTATTTATATACTATACATAAATTTTTTACAACTTAAATTTTTAATACTTTTCTTTATGCATAAAATACAATAAATATTTAACTTTTTAGTTTGTTTGAAAGCGTCCCATGATTATCAGAATTACATCTACTATCTAATGATAGGACTTACATTTTTAGGGTGTTTCAGAATTTATTATAGGAAAGGATTAAAAAATATTTTAAAATAACAATGATGGTCGTGTGGAATTTTAATGAAATATTGGTTTGAATTAATACTATAAGAATGTAATTAGAATTTTTGTATACGGAAAATATGGAATTGAGTATTTATAGTAGGCGTTGGTTAAATTAAAAAAAAATATTTTTAATTTCATTAAATTACACTTTGATATGAGTTAAGATTAGCATATTTAACTGTTGATAAGCCTTCATCATTATCCATAAACCTATTATTTAGTTCTTTGGTTTGAAGTTGCGCCATTAATACAACAACTTTTGTAAGTTTATAAAACATTAAGTAATTAAATTTTATCACTAAACTTTTTGTTGATTAAACAAATGTGTAAAACACGAAAATATAAATCTGACTTAGAAATAGTTGTTTTGTTTTATAATGTGGGTTATGTATCTATAAACCTTCGTATACATGACACATTAAAAAGTTCCAAAAATAAAAAAATAAAACAAAGTTCACACGCAACCAAAAACCCTTTTCACTCTTTTGACTACATTGATTGTATTTTTGAAGTCTTTGACATGCTACGCTCTCAAAATTATTGTCAGTAATCACTAATCAGATGTCTATGAATTGTGTACCTGTCATTTATAATAATATAAAACAATATCTATGGGTTGGTGAAATATTTGAATTTTAGATAAACGAGTTAACATACATATTAATTAAGTAATTGAAGAAATGTTCACATTTTTGATTAGTTAGATTAAATTTTATTGGTAGGTAATTCAGTGTCCACTTATTATGTTATTAAATTATTACTAAAAAAAATATTTTTTGAAGGAAGTGTTTTGAATCTTTCAAAAAAAAAAACTTATTTAATTTAAAAAAAATTGAAAGTCTTCAATCAAAAACGTGAAATAAATAGTCAAATGTATTAATATTTAATTAGTAGATAAAAAAGTTTACACTTCATATTTTTCGAATTTCGAAAATAATTATGTTTTGTACAAATACAAGTCCTTGTATATCCTCTAGTTCTTTACCTATACGTACTTCTTATCTTGTTCAACTAACTTTGTTGTGTTAACAAATAATTGTTTACAGTACCTATTCATTTATATTTTATAATATAATAATTTAATATTTAGCTGAAATCAATATTATTATACGCACCTTGATAATACGTTTTCCAAGAAATTGTATTTTTTTTTAGCTTAATCCACTCCTTCTACTATTCTGATGTTTAATAATCAATAAAAGTTATTACCAATATGTTTATACTTTAAAATCTTCCATTAGATAATAATCGAGCTTGTTTGTTTTAATCATATCTATATTATTATTTATACAAAACTAAACAATCCTTCGATAATGTGTTATTTTTGTTTAATTGAATTAACTGTAATCACTATAATATATTATAGTGACGTTATTTTATAATTCTAATACCTTAAAAATTATTATTTAACATTCAACAAAACTCCTGTTGAAAATATTATCATTTAGAAACATTGTTCAATACTGAAATAGGTCGAAATAACAAAAAAAAAAAAAAAAAAATAGTGCTGAAAAAATTTTAAAATTATCTTTTACAAAATTACAAAAGGCTTAAAACGATGATTCTATGCATTCATAATACATCGTAAAACAGATAGGTTCACTAAACATATCATATAATTATATATTTAAGGTGATATTTATCCAAGAAACTCCATTATATTTATTCGTTGAATTTTGTAATTAAGTACCTAAATAAATGTCACTATTTATTTTATTATGTTAATATTTTGTATTTTCGCCTGCTGTACGTATATGTGCACGCAGCAGTGTGGACATTATAATTATTCTATATAATAGGTAAGTACGATAAATTAAAATCACAGTTCTTTAACTTTTTATTACGAATTTCTTTACTATATACAACTGTACAAGTTTCAAGTTTCGAGATACTGTTGGATAAATATAATTTGATATTATTTCAAATGTTTAAACTAGATAAAAATATTAAATAGTTATTGTTTTATTTTTTATTTTTAAATATTTACCTAACCTAAACTTTAACTTTGTAGGTAACATATTTATTGAAAATGGCATGATCGTAAGCTTAACATTGCGTGACTTCAGATCTTTATAACTTAGTTGAAATAATTCAATTGTGCTATACATTTATACATGACCTATTATTTTATGAGATTTACAAAATACCGTCATTTTACTTATTTTTGGCATGCCATGACAAAATAAAATTTGTTGAAAAATGACAGTTGGAACCATATACATTCATAATAATAATATAATCAATTGTATCCTTGCCACTTAAATACTCGATACGATTTATAAATAAATAAATAATGATTAACTTCAAAAATTCCTATTTAATTGAATATTTTTAATAACATTACGATGGGAAACAATTATGAATTGGAATATTTGCATTATTAAATAGTTTTATTAATGATTACAGATATGTATATATATATATTTTATATTATTAGGTAGGTCATTTATATCTTATATTTCTTATATAAGTGTAGATATTCTAATTCAATAAATAATAACAATTAAAAACATAAATAATATGGCATTATCAAAAATATATATTTATTAATTTAGATTGAGTTAGACTTGTTGTAAGTACTAATTAAAAATCTTATACTTATCTATTAACCGCTGAACAATGGTAATTTTCGGCTTATTCAAAATTTGTGATGAGAAATAATTTATAATATTTGATATACGTGAAAAAAGTATTGTTTAGCTATAGTTATAACATGTAGTTTACATTTTTAAATAACATAACACATTGTAAATACCTATACGAACTACAATAATGATTAAGTATTAGTTAGGGTATATCGCATATGGCCTACTTTTTGTCAAGTTTCATAATACACACATTTTATTACATCACTCAAATTACGTATTATAATAAATAAAAATGACCATTCTGCGTAATATTTTATTTAATCTATATACATAGTCTTGCTAACATTTTTACATGATTTAAATATAATTAGGACAATTATTAGGTAGGTACATGTATATAATATTTATTTTGCTTAAAATTATTGGATACTGTGGTCTTAAACTCTTTATCATAAGTTCATATAACTGATAAATAATTATCACAGCCATCGAAAAACATTAGAGCATATGAGATATTATTCATGTTATTGTAAGATTAAAAACAAAAAATAATCACAAAATGTAATTTATTATTCACTAAAATAATTTAAATACTGTAACAAATTAATCGTTACTCACTCTACTAATCGATAGGTACAATTGATATACGAATTTTGCATTACATGCAGTTCGATATGCTACATCCGACTCGACAGTGTAAAATATATTAGTAAGCCATGTGTCAACAACAATAACAACAACAATAAAAGTGTATACTTATTTTTAATTGTAAATACACATAAGTATTGAACTAATGAATGTATTTAGCAATTCAAATAAGTTCCTGTGTACAATAGAAGTGAAAAATAAGAAACAAGATAAACGATGACAGGTTTCTGAACGACAAAACGCGGTACCTATATCCAATCAAATATATGCTTATATCGTTATATAAGCATTTAACTACTACGTAGGTATACTATCCACTATAAAAATATTATAATAATGGGAAAATGTATAATAACAATAATTTGCAGCGTTCGTGCAAAATAATGGAAATAATGGAATTATTATGATTTTGGGTAGGCACTTGAATGTCAAGAAAACTCCATCAAAACAAAGAACACAGTGGACTATGGACGAAAAGAAATAATTTTACATCCTATTACTGAGTATACAAGATATTTTTCGTGTTCCAATGCTATTTCAATAAAAATTAAAAATAAAAATAGAAACTACACCAGTCACCGTAATATTTGTCGAAGATTAAATCAAGTAATAATTAATTGAGTTTATTTTTATTGCCCACATTTTTTCATGCATATACTTATTTAACGTTGTGAAAATAATGTTTAGTTAACATCATATATTTTTTTCATGCATGATACATAAAAACTCCTATAGATAGTAATGTAGTATACCGAACTATTATAGTTATTTGTTATTTATGGTTATTGCTCATATTGCCCTATACTTATTCTTGTTATTTTTGATTAAATTAATATATATATAACTATAAAAGGAAATAAATAATGTACGATTTTATTTACACGTAAAACTATTATAATTTATAACACTGTACCTATTTGTACTATTATAAACAACTACAATTTCAAATCGTTTTAACTTCAATAAAATAAACGTACTAAATGATATAATATTACAATTTATTTTACAATAAATTTCACTTAAAATGATAGTGACAAAACCGGATTACTTTTTTCTATAAATAAACATTAATATTATTTTCATGTATAATATTATATAAGTAAGCATTATTTTTTAATCGATCGTCATTGTAGTAAAATTATTTTTGTTCGTTGGCAATTTGACTCGTCGGTTGACTTCCATCGACGTTTTCGGAATAATCATTATTTTCGTTCTTAGAGTTTTGTTCATACGGTTCTATGTAGTCTGCTTTTTGTGTCGGGTAACTATTGTTTTCATACTCGTGTTGTTGCTGGTCGTAATGTTCGACATTTGATTCTGGATAATAAGCGGCATTAGCATCGTGATTGCTATCAACATAACCGTCATACTGTTCTTTGGAAACAGATTCGTTGTAGTTTGTATCGCCTTCTTGATAATAGTAACCGTCGTTCGCGTGATGATCACCTGCGTACGTTTCCTGTTGAGCGTGTTCGTCGTATTGGCCTTCGGGATGCCTTTCTATGTTCACATTAGGATTATTCTCGTAATAATAATTATTGTCTTGCTCTTCATTGATGTAATTTCCTTGATGCTCCTGATAGTGCTGATTGACTTGACTTTCGTTGGTACCTTCCTCTGGATGATTTTGGTAATAGTAATCGTCATGGGGCATTTGCTCAGCTACGTATTCTCCTTGGTGATCAGATTCGGCGTATTGATTTTCTGGTTGTACTTTTGGGTCAACATTAGAATAGTCTTGATAATAGTAATCATCGTGAGCTGGTGTCTGATCGACGTAATCTCCCTGATAGTTAGAGTCGACATACCGTTGATCTTCATGTTGTTCTTTTATGTCATCTCTTGCATGATTTTGATAGTAATAATCATCGTGCTCGGCGTGCTCACCTGCATATTCTCCTTTTTCACCAGATTCGGAATATTGATTTTCTTGTTGTTCTTTTGGGTCAGCATTAGAATAATTTTGATAATAATAATCATCATTAGTGTTTTGGTTGTCGACATTATTTACTTGGGAATCGGGATTCTCGTATTGGTTTTTCATTAGATTTTCTTCTTTGTCGTTTGCAGGATTTTGGTAATAATACTCATCGTGTACATTGTTTTCGTCATCAAATTTGTTTTGTTGATTGGGTTCGATGTTGTTGTTGATGATACGTTTGTTATTATCGACAATTTCATCTGGATAAAAATGATCATCGTTAGTAACGTGTTCCGGTTGTGTGTCATATCCATGAGTTTGGTGTTCTTTTATATGGTCGTCATCAGAATGATCTTGATAATAATTTGTATTATTCGTTAGTTCGATATTCGAAATTTCATGTAATGAATCTTGGTCTTTTGGAGTTGTTTTGTAATCAGAATTAACTTGTTTTACGGTATTAGTATTATCTATTTCATCGTTCGAATCATTAACAACATTATTATATGGTTGAATAGTTTCAGAATTGTTTTGTTTTCCCACACTATCATTTATATTAGTAAATTGTTGAAACTGATCAGTTTCATACTCATTCATATTGTAATTTTTTATATTATTAATACTATTACCTTGATCAGTTATGGGTGAGTTAACTTTATTTTTAGGTGATACATTTGCACTATTTTTGTTATTATATTCGTTGTCTATTTTATTATCCACATCATTTGAACTTGCAATTTCATGAGTATTTTCTATTTTAAATTTTTGACTGCCTTTGTAACTTTCTCTTCGTTCTGTGGCATTTAATTTATCCTTTAAATTTTTACTATTTTCTGCGTGATCTTGATAATTGAAATTGGTTTTATCTGTAGTCTCCATTGATTTTTTTTTGCTATTATCATTACTATCACGTCTGAAATCACGATATGTATTTTCATTTTTAAGCACAACATTGTTTTTATCATCTTGTGTTTCCGAGTAAATCTTAATATCATTATTATTATCATAACTTATTCTATCATTATTATAAAAATGAACATTTTTTTCTGATAAACTTGAATCGTTTCCTTGATAATTATTTTTCGAATTTAAATATGTTTCAGATTCAAAAGAATTTCCGATTGAAGCTAACTTTTCTTGTTTACTTAAAGACTGTCTTCTTGAATTTACATTTGTATTACTTGGTGAAATTCGTTGTTTACTTATTGGAACTGAATAATCATCATTTGGCAATAACGATTTTCGACGCTTATCATCGATTTTTGTAATTGATTCTTTTCTCTCTAAAACTAATTTATGGTCTTTTGTGATATAATTTTCATTAGTATTTTCTTCCGTTAAATTTATGTGAGTAGGTAGATCATTATACTCTTTACCTAGATCAAAACTAATTCGCTTTGGAAAAGTTGAAGGACTTTCAGTTTTTTTTTTATTTGATGTGTACTCAGAATAATGATCATTTTCTTTATGTGATTGAAGAATTTCGTCATCTACAAATTTTCTTTCGGGTGACGTAAGTATTGAGTTTTTGTTATACGCATTTTCATTGATTATTTCGTTTCTTTGATTTCGTACCCGAGAATCTAATCCTAATGATGAACGTGTTCTGAATGTTTCATCTCCTTTGTGTTTAATATTTAATGGTTTAAAATCAGTGTAATATTTGGTATTTTCATAACTTGGAATCATATATTTTTCAACACGTTCTTTATGTGGATTCCACACATAATCTCGGATTTTTTTTTCAAGTAAACTGCTGGAATTTTCTAATTGAGTTCTATCATATAAAATATCTCGATTATATACGGGTGAACATGGTCTTGTTATACTAGAAAACGATCGTTGCCCCATATGAGGTTCGTAATAATAATCACTATCATCATGACCACGATAAATATTATTATCATTTGTTGGATAATATCTTGTACGGTGTTCAGGTGAATATGGCTCAAAATTTGATTTGCCAAAGCGATAATTATTTGTGCCTCGGTAACCGTAATCAATCATTGAATACGATGGTTCTCGTTCTACAACTCTCACTGGTTTTGGATACCGTGTTGGCCAATAAGGAACTTCTTCTTCTGGATATTGTTTAATAGGTTTCCGTCTATAAAATCCTTCAGTGGTTTGTCGAGGATATTGAGGTATAGAATTTGATGTAGGAAAATAATACACTTGGTATTCTTGAGTATTCAATGTTCGAAAGTTAATTGGTTTTCTATATTTTTTATGATTGATTGGCATATAATATGGGTTATTCTGGTTATCATATACTGCGGAAAAATCATGTACTTGTGGTTCATAGTTAGTTTTGTATTTGCTATAATAATTTGATAAATACATATCATTTTTATTTAAGTTAGATTTATTTTTATGTTGCCTAAAACTCAAATCATCATCAAACACCAAATACTTGTATTTGTTATTAAAATCTATATTTTTATGATATTTATCAGTGTTGAATGTGTTTGATAATGATTTAGGTTTATCCAATACACCTAAATATTTTAGTCTATTATGAATAGCTGATCCATCCAAAAGCGAATTTTGTTCTTTGATTGTTTCATCGAGTGTCAGTTTTATTAGTCTAACATAATTGTCGCATCGTTCCTAAAATAATAATAAAAAAAAAAAAAATCAAATTATTCGTATTATAGTATTAAATTATCAAGTAGATAATAAATATGAACTTTGACTATACAACAATGGAATTATAAAAATATATAATGAAATGTATCATTAAATTTAAATTCATAATAATATAGCTCAGGAATTATAATTCACTATGTTCTATGAGTGTTATGATTGACGTGATATTAATTTAACCAAATATGTATTTGGTTTTTGTTAATTTTAAATAATTCGTTTAAATTTATATGGTAATATTACTTAAATTTATGAAATTAATTTCGAAATTAAATAAATATTTTATATTATAGGTACCTGTTTTAAATATTATTAATTCATCATTGAAGAAATAATCAAGTAGGCAATATAAATATGTTACTATGGCAGGTATTAGAGTAAGCAATTTTGAGAAAAAATAAGCAAATTTATTATAATTATTGATATATTCTACATATTTTTTTTCATTGAGAATGAAACGGCAATATACTATACCCACTCGCATATTATATAGTAAAATGTATTACCCTTAAACATCGCATTCTATCGATTTTCTCGGCCATCATACTGAAATTTCTTTGAACTCCATCCATTTAGATATGCAAAATATTTATTATCTTCAGTATAAACTGTACCCGTACTAAAACATTTTAATTTAAACATATTATCGTGATTAATAATGTAATATTCATAATTCATAAATGTTTTAGTGAAAAGTCAGACAAGCTATAAAAGTAAAATAACTTCAATATGATGTGAAATATATATATATATATATTATATATAGGTACTTATGCTTATATAATTACAGAATAATTTTAATAGCACACATGCATTAAGAAACCAAACCAAATATTTAAGCTATCAAAGTTAAAAAGGAAAACACTTTTAATTTATTAACTATGAAAGTAAGTGTATTTATTACAGATAAATAAATTAATGAATTATTATGAATAGGAATATGATAATTATGCCTACCTATGTGAGTAATACACTCATTTATTACTATTGCAGCATATTTTTTATTACATAAATCATTATAATAAATAGTAAAAGCAGTATATAGTTATATTGAATAGACTACTAAATTAAAACCTTAAACTTAGTGAAGAATGTACATCTATTTTAATTATTAATTTCACAAAATTGTTTGTCTTATAATAATAATTGCAATAAAATACAACAATTTCATTATATACGTCTATGTTTCATAGATTTTTAAAATGTATATCTATTTTATTACCGATTAATATCGACTGCAATTTAATTAAATTTGTGTAAAAATTAGTTATATTTTATTATAATATGAGGGATATGTGAATCGTATAGATTTATATTTATGAATATGAAATGTACAGATTCGGGTAGACGTTCTCACATTTTTTATTTACAAAGTTTTAAGTTCAAACAGATAAAATTTGTAAGAACAACTAATATTTGCAAATCATTTCGTAGCTGAGAATTCATCGTGTTAAAAATGTAAAACAAGATTTCTTATAAGTTTTTCTTAAAGAAATATAAAAATATCAAAACTACATAGAATTAATTTTTTTATAAGTGTTTTAAGTACAAATTTTGTTGAAATTGTATTATTCAAACGTAAACTATTTTATGAAACAATTTAAGTTATTTTATTGTGCTTAATTTAAAAATATTAACTGTAGAAACACTAGAAACTGAGAACATTCCAAAATTTATACTTACAGGTATTCAAAATGTACAATGCAATTCAATTTTCAAAATATTTAAGCTGTTTTAGTTAAAAAAACTTAATTGTATTAGTGACTGTGTATATAATTTTAATGGTTTTAAATAACTAATAACTTTATTATAAAATTTATACTATGAATTTAATTAGTATTTATTCTACTTAACATCAATATTGCCGTCCAAGTTAATAACTGCAATAATTCATTTTACATATATACAATTACAATATATTATAATAATTAATAATACACTACAAATGGAATGATTTTGTCGAAAACGAATTTAATTTCAACCTATACTGTGATACTAATAGAAAAATAAATTACTTATAGTACATTAGTAATTAATATAAATATAAACTATTAGAAAATATCTATAAAAATAGGCTGACATGAATTAATTCTACTCAGAATCATTTTCATATTATAAAATGATTTATTATTGAATAAAAATGTAGCAAGGTAGCAATAGATTGTAACATTACTGATATAAAAACTGTTATTAGTTTTTAACAATGAACAATAATCCCATAAAAGTATTCAAATAATTTGCGATAACAAGAATATAATCAAGATTAATAATTCATGTAAATATGAAAATGTAAAACAAAAAAAAAAAACTAATGGTAATGAACCATGAACTATGGAGCCAAAGTTGTAAATTTATTGTAGTAGGTATGTTATTGATAATTTATATTAATAATAAAAACCAGGGAAGTCACTCTGCTGTATAATAGAAGAATTATACTTTAATTTCATTTAAGTAAGTAGATCACTATTGAGAATGTGTTAAATCTGAATTTAATGATAATAACATTGATACCTACGAAAATTGTTTCTAAATACAGACGTTCGGTCAGACATGTTTTTTATTAGATTTTTATACTGCTATTGACTACTGCTATATATATATATATATATATATATATTATACCAAATCAGTGTAAAAACCATAAATCATACTACATCATTATTCATCATTAAAATATGTAATTTCGTCCAAATTTTAACTACAGATATTTATAAAAAATAATTGTGATAAGTAATAACATACTTTTTAGTTCCAGTGTGAGCTATTTTGTATTGTAATATTTTATTACAAAATACTAGTAATTTATACATTTTTATAATTTTGATACATTTTGTAAAAATTTGAACTACAAATGCATAAAAAAAAATTGTGAGTATGTATTTTTGATATTTTTATACAAATTTAAGAATAACTGATGTGGATTTTTGTAGAAAATTTTTAAAAATTTTTACGAAACAATTAAAAAAAAAAATTAATTTAAAAATATAAAAATTTCTAATTTCTTTAAATAAGTTTATGATTTTCATAAATAAACAACAGTAGAATAGTTTAGTAATCAATTAGATACAAATCAAATATTTAAACTTAAATAAATTAATAAATAATTTTATGATATAACTATTTAAAATTTTACGGGATATCTATTCATTTTTTTTTTAAATATAAAAATGAACATTAAAAACATATAAGTATATAGTTTTATAAAATTTAATAATTACGTTAAAAGATTGTGTCTAGTGAAATATTAATGGAAACCGTGTGCAATTTTTAATAAATGTTCGTATCTTACTTAATAAATGTTTGAAATTTAGTCTTTATTACGTACAATTGAGTTGATCAGTTGAAAAAATTGGTAAGTCCATACAAAAACAAAATTATGAACAGTGAACACTCGTTTCATATTTGTATTAGAAATTAAGTGAAAAATATATAAACATATTATTGGACAGTGGACACTATACGTTTTAACGTTTACTGTTATAAAAACTACAAAAAAAGCATTAAAAATTGTTTTTAAAAACCATAATAAGACATACTAATTTTTATTTGTATTCTTTAAATTTAATAGATACCTATGAACAAATTGTTTATAATTAATGCCTATTAAAGATTACAATTATATCTAGTCCTAAATTTAAGATGTGTACGTAAATTAAAAATTACGATATAAATCCGATTCAGTAAATTAGCGTACATTGCACATCATAATGTTAAGGTACAAACATTACCTTTAAAATGTTTTAAATATTCGTTGATTTAGAACACATTTTGTAAAATGTTTTATTATAAATCCAAACAATTAATAAGCAAAAAAACCCAACTTTTAAGTCAAAATAACTTCAAAAAAGTTTTAAAAAAATCAATTTAATAAATCATTATTCTGTCTACGTAGTACAATTAATTAAATTGACGCATAAGCTAGACTAATATGATAAAAAAGTAAAAACCAAACTCACAAAACTCGAACTTCTCCTATTAGCTTTTTTTTGCACAGTGTTCACACACGTAAAAAATGTATATAACTAATATGTATGCATATTAATATAATATTATACTATATACCTATATTCTCTAACTATATTTCTCTAACCTAACCTACATACGCGTCGTACGTAATTCGATTACAACTTTTGGAGTGCATAAGCGGGAGGCTAAAATATATTTCTTTTGCAGGCTTTCGATTTTGTTTCAAACATTTTGGTAGAGCTATAATGGTGCTTAGGGAAAATACCAGCTATCCCAAGTCCTCCTTAGTTACGCCCGCGGTGAATTATTAACGATACCTATTAACGTACCTATATAATATGAATAAGGATAAAATTACAATCGTTTTATAAGTAGGTATAAAAGTAACCGTTATTGTTTAATCGATACAAAAGTATTATGTCAAGCAAAAGTATACGATACGTATTATTTCGATATAATACGACAGAAAAAATAAAATAAAGTCAGATTATCGAATGTTTGACCATCGTCCATCACCGTGTACCCAATATGAATATTATAAATCATAGTAATATAGTTTATTTTAGTAGATAATTCGTAACAATTAATACTACATATAAATAATATATGGTTCAACGAAAGTAGCAATAGACGAACGCATAGTTTCACCAACATAGACCCTAATATATTATTTACATGACTACTAATATACGTATAACTATAATCTACTTTGTGACGTAGCGTGGTGCAGCCCGCAGAAACTCGGGCCAGCGATCAATATCGTAACTATTCATAATGCGTCTCAACGGCACGCGGTTGACAGATAACAAATGGGATTTTTTCATCGGGTACTGTGGTATAAAGATTCACGGAGTGATATACATATTATTTAAGTATGTTTTATATGCGAACGTACAATAGCGTATCTATATATCCAACGGTTTGAGTAGAGCCCGAGTAGAGGATAAACTAAGAATTATATTGTCTATCTTTTTTAGTTTACAGCTTTTAACCCTTCACTTATTTTTTTCAAAATACTGTATCTCTATGAAAATTGTGACGAAAACAATACCTACCATAAAATCATAAAATATATATCGATGATGATTGCGGTAGAATACTATATCTTTATGAAGAGAAGTGGACGTGTATAGGTATCTACCCGCTTACAAGTAATTTTAACAACTAACAGTCGTCTTATTTTGAATCACTTCGACCACTGCCTCTAGCAGCGTGATTACCAAATGGCGTCACTATATGTATAGCACGTTAGTTGATAAAAGATTAATTTTTTTAATCATTATTTTTGACAGGTGGATTAAATTAGTTTTTCTTTTGACGCAATTTTGCTTTTCTTTTTTTGTACAACCATATCATTGCTGTAATTTATTATGTACAATTCAATATCGGTAGTCCAAAACAACTTAAAATGGACTACCAAAAACATTAATTGGTAATCTCTGCTCTATGATATCTGTAATACTCGTCTAAGCGTGGTGCACAAGTGTGTTGTGTAAAATCCAACCATGTTGACCAATATCCATTTAACGTACCTACTAATTACGGTCTACTGACAATTGTTCGGCGCTAAAATTATAACATCATCGTTATAATACTACCGCCGCCGCTGCCGCCGCTGCTGCTGCTGCTGCCGAGTACTGCGGACGGCTCTGCGAGATACGTTTCGTTATGGTCCAGAAGCTGAGAGGATTTGGAACACTGCAAACCGGGGTGCTGGAAGCTGCGGTGTCTTTTATCGTAATAACGTACGCAGATGTATCGTATATTTTATTGGTATTGTTTACTGGCGTAGCGCGCAGAGTTGGTTGCGCACTTGCGCCCGCGTAATATCTTCGGGAGTCCAATAATAATTGTCGTCGGACCGAAACCGTCGTTTGTAAATCGCGACGGGTGACTGTGTGCGGTGCGTAGGGCTGCCGCCACCGACGTTCTCCGTCAAAACGTCAGCATGATATTTTAACGTAACGACAATCGTGTGGATAAATGTGATAATATCATTCTATTTGGACGATACACCGCGGACATGGCGTGTACGCTACATTTGTAAGTATATTTTATTGAACGCCGCGGTGTATTCGTATACGCGTAAATCCGGACACCGTGTCAAAACAATGAAATTATGTCGATGTCAGGTATACGCGGTATACCGGGACTTGCGTAAGCGCGGAAAACCACTGTACTGAGCAGGTAAACACTTACTACTATTGCGATCGCGATCGTGTGCTCGGATTTTTAACGGCGGCCGTGGCGGTACACCGTGTCAACCGGTACGGTTTCGGCGCGCGTCATAAATATATTTTATATTATTTGTAGTATCATTATGTTATTACTATGATAGTTCGAAGACGACCTGTCGACTACGGCAGTTGACGACCACCAAACTATCGTATTATTATCATATTATTCAGTACACACATATATATATACTTATAATGTGAATAAATATAAACGGTACCTACCTCTGTATACATATGTAATGACGCCCACCCTCTCTGTCACGGTTGTCGAAAGTTCACCTTGGCACGAGTTTCAGACTCCCGAAACAAAAACAACGGGAAAAAAACATCGAAATAATAATACACTCTCATACCTATTATATAATATTATGTATAATATACTTATACCTATACCAAGGTACTAGTTAGGGGTGTAGTGCACATCATGGCGCGCGTATGCGTGCGTGTGTGTGTGTATGTGCGTGTGCGTGTGCGCGCGTGTGTGTGTGTTGCTCGGTTTGATCTAGTTCGTTTTTTTTCCATACCTCGCAAAAAGCGCGTACCCACATCGTTGCGGCGCGGTCGGGGAGGGAGAGGAGAGTTTACGTATACGACTCACGGACACGCGACCCGGTCGTCGTCGGGCGAGCTGGTCGTCGTTGGCGCGCACGTAAGCGTGAACAACTTTTTGTGCATCGTCATTTTATCATCGTTGTCATTATTATTGTTTGTTGTGTACCTATATATATATAGGTATACGTAAACATTACACAATGTTTTCGCGGGTTTTTATTATCGTATATATCGTGCAGTTATTATTATTATATATCCTTTTTTTACATGTCATTGGCGTGTTTTCAAAATAGTCAGCCATATATACTTACGACGCGTCGTCGTTTTATTTTATTTTATTTTTTTTGTTTAAATTTAAACGCATATTATGTTCATACAAATATATCTATATAATATATGTATATATATATAATTTTATTTTTCGCAAAGCCCCGTGACTGTCACCGAATGCCGTTAACGTAGGATGGCGTGGCGCTGTGCTGCAGAGGGCCGGTATTTACACGAGGCCTTATTATTGCTTTGTTGCGTAGCCTCACATCATGCGAATTTTCGTGTCCCGGGCGGTATACGGGAGTGCAGGTCAAATTCTGCTGTTGCTGTACAAGGTGGATATATATAGTGGACATTATGGCGGTAAAATATTCACATCACACGTAATGTCGCGTATAATCAAAGTCTACGGTGTCTAGTATTGATGTCATGACCTGCAATAGGAATCTGAACTAAAGAAAGCTTTATAAAAAAAAAATACATATATTTAGTGATACGGTGCTCGAGAAATGTGTAGAAATTGAATTGCACATAAATAATGACAAATGTCAAAAAGTGTCGGAATTAGTAAAGTGTCGGATTTAGTAAAAGAAAAAGGAACTTTATTAAATCGTACAAGACAAAGGCGATAGCTATGGCATATAATATGTTAGACCATTCAGTGAGACACGATGAGAAACTCCGTCTGACATCAGTGTCGCGTCACTGAGACGTGGTAATTTCGACGAAAAGCAATTTGGTTACACATATCTACGCGTACCTACTACCAACGTTATTTTTTTGCGGCACATATCTGCAAAGTAATTGTTTGTTAAAACATTTTAGTTAAGTTATATCATGATCTCATTTTAACACGCATCAATGAATGACTGGTTTCGTACAATTTATTAGTGCTGAAAATATATTATGATACAGCTCTACATTGAGCATTGTTCCTTGAAAGATCATTTTGAAGATGACTAAAACATTCGTTCTATTGAAAATAGTTGAGTTTGACGTTTACCTCTTCTATCCAAAATTCTGAACCACGTCACCTCAATATATGTTATAACAGGTGATAAAATGTCTAAATTTTTATTAAAAATCGAATATTTCAATTTTTAATAATAAATTTCAAACTATAATTAGTTAATTATCTGTTTTTTCCACAAACATAAAAGCAAGTTCTTTTAATGTTTGTGTTAATAACACAAGTTCAGTATTATCCGTATATTTATTTAAACAGTCATAATTTTATATTTGTTTCCAAATTGTCTGGCTAAATAGCTATAAATTTCCGTGTTTGATCGAAAATTCAATTGAAACAACGCTATTTTTTCAAAATCAGTTTAAAGTATATTAGATTTTGGACAGAAATGGAAAATCCGTGCACGCATGCCCAAGATTGCTCGGAAAAAAGGTTCAGAACATGCGAACAATTAAAATTCTTATTAGGTATATTATTATATTTTTAATAATAAATAATAACATTATAATATAAGAATGTTTTCATTATCGTTGATGTCTTCCCAAAAATTAAATTTAAGTTTGTTTATTTTTTTTATTAATTTACTACATAATTACAATAAATACACTTTTCCTTATTTAGATCTATTATAAAATAGAATAATTGTTTTTATAATTTTTTATTGAATGGCACGCGAGAAAAAAAATAGTTAATTTTTGGTGCGTGACGTTAGAAAAAATTTTCATTCCAAATTTAGAATATAAATTATATTTTAGAGATTTAATTACATTTAAAATATTACTACTTGAAAAACAAAAGTTTAATACAATTATTAATAAAAACTTATTTCCGTTTCGTAGATTTCAAAAAAAAAAGAAAAAATTAACATACTTGCAAAATATTAAAATTCAAGTGAAGAAGTTTATCCCGATAAAATTTTTGTTGTCATAATAATTGTTGTGGCATATAATAATTAATATGTATCTTTCAATTTATTAATTATTAATTGTTTTGTTTAAATTAATGTTATTATTTTATTTGGTACACGAATATGTTCTGTCAATCTTATAATTTCATTGGCATAAAAACCAATATGCTATTTGATAATTAGGTAGGTAATAGGTATATAACATGAGGTTTTTACCTTGCATGTACTCATCCTGCACGACATACTTTTTTCATTGCATCTACATTCTACATAATACATTTTCTCCACTTCACATTTTCTGGTTGTAACTTTTGTACCTTTATTTTGATATTTCTATATTATACATATATACATCATATATAGATTTGATTGTCATAATACTTTTCCGATTATATGAATTTAACGTATTTTAATATGATCTTATAGTTCTATGAAACTAAAATATAAGATTTAAATTTTGGAATTTATATGACAAAATACGTACAATACTGAATTATAATAAAGGTATTAGGTACTTATAATATTTTTCAAAAAAATATTTTTCTAGTTAAATTATTTTCCCAAATTTGTTAAAAAAATTGTATTTGATTTGCATAATATAATATTTTCCAACGTCGCGTCGTACTTATATTCAGGGCAGGAATGTATTGCACTTAAGATCATAAAAATATTTAAATGTGCATCAAAATATGAGTTTAAATATGTGTTTAATTTTTAATTAAAAATAGACATACTTGTACAAATGAATTGAAAAAAATGAAATATGAAATGTGGAGTCACGTTATTGATTATTGCCTTATATTAGCATTAATACAGATGAAATCATAAGACAAAATTAATTAAGAATGAATAATGTATATTGTATCTACACATTTGTTTTCTAAGTAACTTTTTTATAACGCGTCAAAAAGGAAAATTTTACATTAATATATTATTTTATTTTTCTTACAAATCAAATTAGAAAATATATAAATTTATAAAATATCCAATAAAAATGAATAAATCTTTGCAATATGTATCTGAAGAAAAAAACCTAAAATATGTAAAACATCCAATAAAGATTTTTGAATTCGAAATTTTGCTATCAAAAAATAAATATGTATCAAATCCAATTTATTTTATCTATTTCCCGAACAAATATGCAAATGCATAGTCCCGAGCCCTGATTATAATCATTTGCGCTATCTATGAAAGCGATATTTGAATTACATAAATTGACTTCTATTTGTAGCATACTATCTATCCATCTTAAGAGCAAGTTACATTTCTTTATGAGACGTTTAAAATGTATTTAATTTAGTTTAAATTTTATTATTTATACTATAGGTGCCTAGTGGAAATATAGTATTTTATTACAAAATCATGAAAATTTTAAAATTAATTTTTGTACTTAAGATTTTTAATTTTAAAAGTTAAGCCTTGGAAATTTAATGTTGGGTCTTTCATTAATTTTTTTACAGTAGTTAAAATTTGTAAAATTCACAAAATTAAATATTTAATATTCAATCTGCATAACTAATAAGTAATAACTATATCTATAATCTGTGGACTATGAGTAAAAATTCCACAAAGAAGTTTCATAAAATATTCAAATGTAAGACTTAGATAGCAAGTATCTACAAGATATTTTTGAATTTTGATATTGATTTACATTTGTCTTTGTTACAATGTTCCTTTTTATTTTTCCAATTATATTCGTCAATAATTTTAGTCTATTTATTAAGGGCCAATAAAGGGCACATGATCATTATTAATAGTTAAAGATAAAGGTCATAAAACACTTAGCAATAATTTTCTTAGGCTTTATAAGGCAACACCTTATAGATTTTAAGTGGAGCAATGAGTGTATTTTAAAATTAAATTTTACAATAATGTTTTTATATCTGCCAAAAAAGCAAAAATGTTTCAATCTTCTTTAATATTTTCTAATAAAAAAAGTGAATCTATATGGTACTTTTAGGAGTGAAGTGTACAAAATTCCCAAAACTTTTTTTAATAATTGAGAAAAATAAACAATGATTTGATTTTTACATAAATTTAGTCTTTGGCAATACAAATTTTGTTATTTTGTTGTATATTTACTTATGTTGTAAGTACCTGAAATTTTCATCAAATGTATGTAAGTGCTAGTATTTTCTTTGCGTAATATAATTCTCAAGATAATTTAATATAGACAATTGTTTATCAGTTATAGAAATATTTAACCATTAATACTTTAATTTTTGAGATATTATTAACATTGTCAAAATAAATAATATTTATTATAATAGATAATCGTATAAAAATAAAAATTATAATAAATTAATGAACTAAAAAAATACTTAAGGAACTTGAAATTTTAATTTGAAATAAAAAAAAATGCCAACGGCACGTAGTGTTCCCAAGCGGTCACCCATCCAAGTACTAACTACGCCCGACGTTGCTTAACTTCAGTGATCGGACGAGAACTGGTGTATTCAACGTGGTATGGTCGTTGGCGATGGGTTATGGACTGCTCGAGTGTATATACATACGGATTGTTAAAAAGATTTAATATAATTAGGTAATTAATTACATTTAGTAGTAAAAAAAAAAAAAAAAAATGTTTAAGTACGTATTTGAATTCCCAAATATTATCAATAGTATCAAAAAACATATTTGAATGCATTAAATTAAATGGTATTATTTTTCCATGTATCTCTCGGAATCAACCGTTCCTAAGTACTAAGTGGGTACCTTATTTATCATTAATTAATTTTTTTATGGAATTGTGCAAACTTGTAGGTATTTAAATGATCTATGTACCTGTTTTATTTATGATGGGTGTAAATGGGCTCAAAGTACTTTTAGTTATCTATGTATTTTAATAGTTTAACGTTTATTTTATAAAAACTAGCTGAAGTGTCATATTTTAGTTTTCCTATTATTTTCAAAACTAAAATATGAAAATAAATAATATATATTTTTTAAATATTGAATTATTATCAAATGTGTATATTTTTTTGTATAATTATTTATTTATATGTTTAACATTAATACTTACCTATCATTAATACCCAAGAACTTTATAATTTTTTTATTTCTTATTTTCTACTTCGATTAAAAAAATGTATTAAAGAATTGTGACACATTTGGTAAGTACAATACTCTTTTGAATTGTTTTTGATCTTACTATATTGATTATGATAGATATTATTTAATCTGATTTTTAACTTCAGTATTAAACTGTAAAATGTTTTTAAATTATAATGGTATTTAATGTAAAAGGACATCAAATGTATAAATTAGACTCTAAAATATACCGTATTAAAATTACTATAGGTCTATAGTCTATACACATCATTATTTGGCTCCATATTATTAGTACGGCTTGGATTTGAATGAAAAATGCAATTTTTTTGGGAAATTCTAGACAATGCTTTTCAACCACAAAATCTCTTTTTATACTTCAGAGAATTTAAAACAAACTTTTATTTTATATTTTCAACAGTTTAGACGCTCATAATGCATTTTTTCAAATAATTTTTAGCTTATATTTATTAATTAGGTATACTTTATGGATAAAATTTGTTTAATAATTCAAAATTTTTAGTCAAGAAATTTTGTTCCGGAAATTTATTATTTGTTGATTACATCATTGTTCAACGAATTGCTTGCAATTTAATACGTACAATAGCTTATCATAGAAAATAAAATTAATTATGAATTTTGGTGTACTCAAAATGAATAAATCAGTGTCAAAAGTGATGTTTTTCATCAGTCAAAATTCCATCGTCAATGCATCTATTAAAAATTGCAATAAAATAATAAAACGAAAATGTAAAAAGAAAAATTACTATTTTATAGCTTATACCTCTTGGCTATTTTTTAGGCTATTTAAATCCAGGCTATAATTATTATATATTCTTAAAATAACACGGCAGTAGGTCAACATTTACAACCAATTAAAAAAAAACAATTTCTTTAACAACTAATATCAAAATGTTCAGTTAAACAAAAAATTTAATTATGTTGGAGTTAACCTTATATGTTTTTCATTTTGTTAATAATTAACCTCTTGCAATAGTTTAGATCTCCAATTATTGAAAATGTATATTACGAGTAATTACATTGCATAAAATACCTAGAAAATGATTTCTATGATGAAAACCCTTTTCTGGAGTCTGGATAACTAATATTGTGATTAAATCATATTTAATACCTTGCGGCTTGCACCAATATACAGACATTCAGTGTCTTATACTCTTATCATCACGTCAATCCCGACATTTTAACAGTAGTATACTATTATCATTGATTTTAGAATATACAGTCATAGACTTTATATAAGGTCTATGTATATAGTATATTAATTATTATTCATAGATAACACCATATTCTATAATCAATGATAAAATTAATAATGTAATTAATCTTACTAGTCTAGTAATACTAAAATGATTAAATTCACGACATTTATATATCCAACTGTAATTTATTAGTTTCCAAGTTGCCAATACAATGATAATAATTTATTAAATACTTAATAAATTATTAATAGGTATGTACGGAAATTAAATAAAAAAACCAAAATAGAGAAATAATCTAATTTATATTATATAATACATATATACAAAATATAATAAAATAAGTAAGGCAATACCTATTAATAACAATAAATTGGTAACGTTTAAAAATAATTTATGCTATCAATAGTAATAGAAATAGCTGGTGTAAATTAAATTTAAATATAATAAGCTCAAGTATTAAAGATATAACACCATTTAGTAATTGATATAAAATTTTCTCAAATGTATATTTTTGTATCCATAATGTTGCTTTATTATGTGACTAATGTTTTACTTTTTTTCTACTAATAAATAAAAATATTAGTTATGCTCAATTACAATAGTTCATATTAAGATAAAGATATATATAAATCGACTATCTTGGATGGTACTGAAATTTATTTAAGACATGTAGAGTATTTGGATTAAATTTGGCACTTTTAACTGATGTATAAATAAATAGCATATAATTAGTGTAATTTATTAAAAATTGTTACAGATCAATGGTTTTAATATATTTTAACCATTTTGTTTATTACCTTTCAAATTAAAAATAACAAATAAAAATTAAATATGAAGGATTATAGAAAAGAACAAAATATTTAATAACATTCAAAATCAAATAAAAATCAGTAATAATAACACCGGTTAAAAGTTAAAACATGACAGAACATAACATATGTATTACTACTGCCTATATTATGATAAAAGTAAATATATTAAAAATATATAATATATACATTAATACATTTTAGTATTTATTTTCATTATTATGTTTTCATTCAATGTTATCACAATTGATTTTTTTCTTTTTATTAATATTTTTTTTACTTTCTTAAGTAATTAATCAACAATGATAAATACTTAACTATGGATAATTAATTTTCTAGATATTCTCTTCAAAATAAATATAAACAATAGGCAACACTAAAATTTTAACAAAAATTATTCACTTGGAAGTACTTTCATTAGTTACTTCTTTTGGAATCGTTAAACAACATATTTAATTTACAGTTAATTATTAAGTTTTTGGGCTTTTATACAAGGTTTACCATATCGTCGACCAGCTTCAACAAAGAAAGCATGTTCCATTTGTTTAACTAATTCATTGAAAAACATATTAGCTAACGCTGAATGTAATTGTGATTTAAATTCATAAGCCACAAAAAAAGTAATGACACAAGTATTTGGATTATCTTTTAACCCAGGATCACAATTCCATTGAGTTGTTAAATATTTAAACAGTTTTCCATCACGACATTCTGCTTTAATCATATGAGGGCGTTGAAATGTTATATGTGATACATAACTTTCTATTATAGGAGGAAAACCAATTTCTAAATAAGTTTTAGCATGATCTTTTCCTTTAACTTTGACTGTAGACTGTCGACAGAATGGTAAAAAATGTTTATAATTTTCTGTGTCTTGAATAACATCAAACATTTGCTCAGGAGAATATCTACAAATTAAGTATTTGATTAATAAAAAGGAAAGTATAGTAATAATTTTTAAATTATGTAAAATTTACCCAATCAATTGTTTTTCTTTATATTTTTTTTCATTATTTACTCCAGGATTAAAAACATTTATAAATGTTCGTATTTGTATGGAATACAGAGAATTAGGTGTTATCGCTATTTTTGCAAGACCACTAGTTGAATAGAAAATATCTTTGCCATTCATAAAACTGATGAATTTCCATTCCCTATAATCAAAAATTTAAACAAATTAAAAGGGAAATATTAAATTAAATATTTTAAAATAAAATAAAAAATGGTTATCAATTTAATCCAAAAATTTTAAACTAAAAATATTTTTTTTATAAATATTGAATATAACAATTAACAAAGTAATTATATTAGATATAAATTATAATATTAAAGATACTTCTAATTTTCTATTTTTAATATAGGAATATTTAGAAAAGTTGATTGTACCAATTATTATTATTTATTAAATAATTTAAATTAATAGACATAGGTATGGTGAAAATATATCTTAACTATTTGATTCAAATAAATAGTAATTTGTTTTCTATATTTTAAACAAGCAAAAAAGTAAATTACATTTTAGAATAGATGTATTAAATGATATTAAATATTATATGTAAAATTGGAAAGAAAATTAATAGAGGCTTCCTTCCCTTAACCCGCCCAGTCTAATTAAAAAATACAAACACAATTACTTATACTATTATATTTGTATACAGATAAAAAAAAATTTCGGCTGTTAAATTATCTAATTATTTTCTAACAATTTAACTAATATTATCAGTTTTAAAATATATTGTACTTATAGTAGACTATTAACTACATTTCACATATGTTTACCTGCTTATATAAATAATATTTACAAAATAATGCATCTCAAGTACCCATAATAAAAAATATTATCCTGAAAAATATTCTTTACAATGAGTATTATTTTACTTTTCTAAGACTAAATCTAGAATATATGTCAATTTAAAAGCTTTGAAAAAATAATTTACACAATTTTGTTTATAAAAATTAATATTTAAAAAAAACATGTTTATGTTTAGTCATACATTATAAACATTAATGCATATGTAGGATTCTTGCTTAGAAAACAAATAAATAAATGGGTCATAAAAAATATTTCACTATTTGTCACTTATAACATAATACCTTCAGAGAGCAGTATCCACTATGTTAAAATTTCTATTAGAAAAAATGTATTTTCCTTATCATTTAGGAATATAATAATTAATAAATTAAGAAAGAGTAATTTAAAACGAATGTATATTTAATATTCTTTTAAAATTTTATATATAAATAAATCAAAAATAAACTATCTTTATTAAAAAAAAAGACAAATGAAATGTAAAATAAAATGTAAAATAAAATATATTAAATGATTTTTTTTTCAGATACTAAGCATCCAAAAAAAATATAATTTTAATTTAAATAATTTTATTTAGTATTTTTGAAATAAATTATACTATACTATATATTATTGAAGAAGAATTGTAAAAAAAACAAATTAATTAATGTGAACACCAATTACTTAATATTTTATTTTATTATACTACCTATTATTGTATAGTAGCAATTGTGAAATTTAACAATTATTCATTTTTTTGTAATACATGACCTCGGATGTTTAGCTAAAATTGAGTAGGCGAAAAAAAAACCTAATTTTAACTTATAACTAATGAATACAAAAATAAATTTAAAAAATGCATCCTATCAAGGACAAAAATTTTTTTTTTATTGACACTAAAATAATTTTTATTTTTTTATTTTTTGAGTAAATATTAATACATTGATATGCAAAATACATTATGAAAATATTTGAAATTATCTAAAAAATACAAGCAAATTGTTACTTTATACAACGATAAAAAAAAAAATGTACCTGTTTTTTGAAAACGTGTTTGTATTAGTTATTCGTCTTAAATTGATAAACGTTGCTCTAGACATGGCTTCAAACTAAAGAGAAGTGATCAACTACAAGGAACCTTTGGCATAATGTTACGTAATTTATAAACGATGTCGAGTGGTTAAAAAAAATTTTTAAGGCGCCGATTGTAAAATAAAACTTTTGAGATAGAAACAATTTTGTGATAGCTTATCAACAGCAATAGTACTTATCATAGTGTGATACTAACAATTATAGTTGTGTACGCCGCGTAGATTGATAGTGTGAACCAAAAAATACGTCATTATATCTAATAGTAGTTTATTCCAATAAGCAGATTTAAATATGTATAATGTTATAAAATATGAATAAAAAATGTACAACCGCTGAATAAAACATTTTATTTAATATTTTAGTATTAAAAACTATGCATGAGTGACATTACTAACATATGTGTGAGATATGGTTAGGTAGGTACCAAATTAATAGGTAAAACCGAAGTCCACACTACTCGTTCAAACTGCACTAGCACTTAGGACACCACCAAACACTTTTTTCCAATGTCCGAGACAGGGTGCAATGAGTTTTGAGGTTGCCTTGAATACTCGCTCTTTGAAAGGGAGGGGGAAGCATCTTGGACAAAATGTCAGCTTATGTCTTATAAGAATGCGTGTAAATATTTTGTAAGCCAATAAGTAATATTATAAATAAAAATTGGTATTTTGATTCTTTTTTTTTTAAAGATGTTTGTTTTGCATATTGAAAAAAAATTCGTTTGGGATCTAAGCTGTATTTGTTTCAATTAAATGTACATAATGATAACAAATAATAACTTAAAATTAATTATAAAACATGTTATTTAAAAAAAAATCACTACACAATAAAATCGCTCGTTTACGTTATTTTGCAAATAAAACTACTACACACTTTTGGGTTTGACGTTGATGATCGATGTTGACTGCGACCGTGTGCGTATCGTACGTCAACTAAATTTTAATTTTTACCAATACTACAAGTAGGTAATAAAACATAGGTATAATTAGTGAAATCCTAATAACTACGGCTTTCTTAGTGTATTGAAAAATTTGATACGATATTATGTTGTATAGTTATATTAGGCGCTTGTTATAAAAGATAATTAGATTAGCCTCGTACCCTTTAATACAAATAAATACATTATTAATTTATTTTGTCAAACAAATTTAAGTGTTCGATAAGACATCGGAATAACATTTTGACTGTGCTTGACCATTGACCACGGTAGATGTGCCAGATTATGCTTTGTGGCTCATTTTTTTCTACTTTCGCGGTTTCAGACCAATATGGCAGAGAGGTCTATGGCTTTTTATGAGACCGAAGAATATTAAATAGAGTATTTTACAAGTTAATAGAGGACAGGACATTTCTTCCGCCGAGAAAGATGAAGAGCGTGCAACGCAATTCGTGGGAAAGTGGTTTACACGAAACAGGATAGTCTCGCTGTCACGATACTGTTGGAGGTGTCATCAACCAAGTCTTTTCATGACACCTCATATACTTATGGTACTATGGGTGAAACGACGATCACGGCAGATCCACTTTGTCTCATGTTGTTGTAAGCGGCCTATAATGTATTGTAATGAAGATTATTTTGTATGACTTGCGCGTCGTTGTTATTGTTTTAATTGCACAATAAACGATCCGACTGAGGCGGAAAGTACCTATAGTAAGTATGCTTACCTACCGTTAAGAATTAGGATGGAAATTTATAATTAATGAATTAGGTACTTAACTTTTATTATTATTATTTTTAAGTCCACAAGCTTACACATTAACTTGGTTTATATTTTAAAAAAAGTTTGCGTAATAATACAATTATTAATAGTACTAAGTTGGTATTGATATTAAACTTAGTACCTACTATTGTTGCGTTGGTAGGTACAATCAGTTGTTTTGTGTTCAGATTAATTATTAATTAATAGAACGTTAAATAATTCCAACACTGCAGTTTTGTGAGTTTTTGAAGAAATATTTTAAATGTTTTAAAAATTGAAAAACAATTCAAATCAAAATGACAATAAAATAATGACTGTGTTGTGGTAGCTAGAGAGGTAATGACACAAGCTCTGTGATTTTGTGTCTGACAAAACCTTGTCAGTTAAAGTGTCAACTTTACTAACGGAGAACTTTATCCATACTATAATTATGCATAATATATGGATAAATGATTATGTATGGTCTGCGGAATCTTCCTATGCTATTTTAAGATTGTAGCAGAGACTGATTGACATGTTCATGGCCTACGGTACCTTTCATATTATTATTTTTAAAATATACGTTACCTACTATATAGATACATTTATACTTGCAATCATAATATGTGTGTGTGTGTGTGTGTACGTGTGAGTACGAGTTATCACAGCTCGCTATACTCGCTATACTACCTACTAAGTACTAACAACAAATTATTATTTTTATTTTGAGTTTTGAATGGATTTAAATGCTAGAATACTAGATACTTATTTTACGATAATATCTATTTTTTTTTAAGCAAATATTTTGTTTTCAACGTTCAGTAGACATAAACAATTTAGGTTGTGAGCAGAGTTATAAATGTATTGATTTTACAATGTATTTTTATTTTATTTTTGTGTCTGTTATATTAGTTATTAGTTATTACTTTATAGAAGACTTATTTTTAATTATTTATAGGCATTTAAAATTTTTAATTTGATATACCTAAATTTTATTGTTTGGTCAAACGTTTAGAAAATTTAATACAAGGTTCTTAATAATTTGTAGTTACCTATGAATAACAATTTAAAAATATGAAAGATATATTTGAAGTGATTTTTGTATAGAAGTTAAAAGTTAAAATGTTGATGATATTGTATATTATTGTTAAACTAAAAATAACGATTTTTACGTTATTATGTTGAACATTTTTAATCCAAATAATAGAAATATAGTAACTGTTAGGTACTACTACGAACCTATAAGCTACAATATTATTTTTTATGCACAATGGCACAATGAAATTTTCAAAATATTTAAATTAAATGTTAGGATATTTTTACTATGAATCTATTTATGCCGTTATCTATAGTACATACTACATTAGTACGTGTTATTGAATAAAACAGAATAAAAATATTATTTTTGCTAATGTTACGCGATTTACGTATCGTATATGCATACTTAATACTATCCAAATTTTTACTTTTGACCCCCTGTTTCCTAAAACAAAAACTAAACCAATATTGAATATCCTACTATAGAAACCACTTTGATGTTGAAAATTTAAGTATATTTTCTATTTCAAAACGCAATGACAGATATAAAAAAATTAGGTATTTAACCAGTAACCACTCTACTGTATAGTTTACTATAATATATGTGTTAAACTTGAATTTAATAATAAATCATGGTATATACAAAAAACGATCCTGACTTCTGAGTAAAAAACGATCTGTTAGTTTGTATATATAAACATTAAACACATATATTTCTAACTATATTAGCAATCTGATATTTTTATATTGCTATTCAAGTAATTTGTTTTAGTATTAATATTTCGGTAGTCTGTCAGTGGAATTAATAATTATTTGAAAATATAATTGTGTATACAAAATTATAAAATATAATAATTTGTCACAAATTCCAATAATCTATGAATAGTATTTTTATTTTTTTAGTTATATAACAAAATAATTAAATTCATTACTCTTCTTTTAATAACTAATTTTATCCAGACTTTAAAATGCCTATAAAAAAATGTGTTTGTATATTTTTTAGATTTTTCGATTACTGTATAAAGTAAAAATAAGGAGTATTGTTTTAAATATTAGTCCTAAAAAATTAAATTATTAAACATTTTACATATTTTTGAATTTAAAAATAATTTTTAAATTTTCATGAATATATTAAACTTTGTTAAAATTTTAACTTCAAATACTTTAAAAAAACTTTAGATACTTATTATATGTATCTGTAATGATACTTCTAAATGGACATGGATATTAAAAAATTATAAAGTACTTTGTAATAAATTTTGACTGAGTGAAATTATTTTTATTAATATATTTATTGATTTAATAAATATTCAAATCATAGATATGAATTTTTAACTAAATAATAGTTTTATTACTAAATTCGGGCTCTTGAAATAATAGTGTTTTAGCTTGAACAATATATACTTGGGTTAATAAATTATTATTCTCATAAGTTATATAACACTTATAACTAACTGTTGTAAGTAATGTAGAAAAATGAAAAATCTTTTCAATCCTCACTATTTATATGTTTATTTAATTCAATTTAGATAGTTTTATAGGTAATAAAACATTTAAATTATTCCTTTGTTATTATATTTATATTAATGATTTATTTGTTTGGTGAGCTCATTAAAGAGGTTGTCAGTTTATTTATTTACACGACCTAGTTTCTTTTCTAGAGGTGAACGAAACTACCCTTATGATAGACTATTATTTTTTTCCACAAACATTCGTGTGTGGTACCTTCACAAAACCTACGTCGCGTGATCGTTGATAATGTTCATATGGTTAATAATATTATTGCCGGCTTTTGAGTTCAATCAGAGTATAATTTTTATCGAAAATTAAAATTATAGAAATTATTAAAGTAAAATATGACAAACCGACATTTGATTTAATATTCAATTATATTTTCGATAGTATCTAATAGTAGGTACCGAAAACAGTTTTAAGTCAAATTTTTTAAAGTAATACTTAGAACGGCAGGCAGTTGTTCAGACATGATGATTTTAACCAAGGTATATATTATTATTGTACAGAACATTCTACTTATTACGATTTGTAATGGTCTTAATATTTACAACATTGACACTGGTCCAAGGAATAACGACACAGTTGGTAAATAATAAAAATATAAATATTTTTACGTCGTTTAAAATTATATTATTAGTTTTAATATTATTTATTTATATGAATTATTTTATTAAACTCAGCTATAGTCATAAATCCAAAGTTTACTACAAATAAAAATAATGACATTTGGAATACTATTAATGGATACATTAATAAATTAAAGCAAGATGTATTTAAACAAGCTGGGGTATCTGTCGAAATCTATACAAAAACGAACATTAAACTTTCGAGAGGTAAAGCAAAGTTAAATTATTATACATTGATACTTTTAGCAAATTAATTAAATTTATTAGAATTATTATCAACCAGATCTTTTATAGGTAGTTATAACTTATATCCCAATGAATTCAATAATACATAAAAAAAAAAATGAAAACATTTTTGTTCATGAAACTATATTTTATTTAATAGTAAACTAGTCTTACTACTTTAATATGATAATACTTTGTATAATATACAATAATGTATATTATATTTTATTTATCAATAATAAAATTAATAGTCAATAGAATGTGATAGAATGTGAATTACGAGAGAATGATTGGATTTCAATTGCATATTTGAAAGCAGATTTTAACGTTTGTACATTTTTTGAGCGAAAATTGTATTTTTAAATTATACGTGTACATCAGAGATCTGATATCGTATCAACTTTTCATTGAGGTCTGTAGTAAAATTAAAATAAACGTTATTAAAAATACGTTGGGTATGCTTATCAACTAATTTTGAATAAAATATACTGATAGAGAAAAATTTATATTATTATGATTATTGCTTTGAATAAAAACATGAAAAAAGTATACTAAAATATAATTTCTAATATAATTTTTGGCTTAAAATATTTAATTTATGCTCTGTTTCATAATGACGTTTAATATTATATTCTTTTACAGATAATTTAGTTTTTTGGTAAATTAAACATAGCAGTTTAAGCAGTTCAACTTTATTTTCGATAAAAAAAAATAAATATATATAAATCCTTTTATAATTTGTTGAATACATATAACAATCACGCATTTTTTACATTTTTTAACATTGTAATAATAATTATAATACACTTAAGATTATTTAATTCAAATTTAAAATTTTCTAGCGATGTCTGCATGTCGGTAAGTTTGAAAATAAACTACACTAAAAATATAGCTACAAAAACATTTAATATTAATAATCAGAAAAACATATTTGTCGTAATCATTGTAATCTAATAAGTAATAGTAAGTATATGGAATGTCACTATATTATTACTATGTTATTAGATTATAAATTTGACAATAATAGTTGAAATAATATCATAGCTTAAACTGTGAAAATATAATAGCCATGAATTGAAATCATAAAACTAATACTTCACATTTATAATTTGAAATATAAAATTAAAATTTTTAAACACCACGAGGGCTGCAAAAAAAAAGTTACAAAGACCACATGTAGCACGTGGGCTACGGGTTGCCACCGGTGTCTGCTGTACACTATACACGATAGTCGATGTTGAGGACTTAATGCATTTATAAAATAAAGAAAATACTAAATAGTATAGTTTATTTTTAATTTCAGATATGGTTTCGATTTTCATTGTATCATATTGTGAAGATGTTTGGGACTTATACTACAAAGCTGAATTCGAAGGATTAAATGGAATACTGTACATTTCAATAACAGGTTATGTATACAATTTATAATTTATAAAATCAATTAAAAAAAACTTTAAATATTTGATAACATTTTTTTTATTAATTGCTAAATCAAATATTTAGGTATTCATATTTTAGTACCTAGTAATTAGTAAACAAAGTTTGGTCTGCAATATACCTAGTGGATAATGTTTACATTTTTTATTCAAAGAGGTGAAAATAGTAACATAATAATTATTATTAGTTCACCATATAACGTTAAATAATATTTTCAACATCTAAGTTAAGATAAATCACTGTACCGTCTGTACCTACATGATAATGAAGAATGATTCTGAAGTCTATCATTTTTTAAGCATATATTCGTATTTCTATAAGGATTATCTTATATTTATATTGTTATTAATGATATGGTAGGTAAGTTGATATGAATTTTTAAAAAATAAATCACATAATATATTTATAGTAATTAGTTATTATTATTATTATTATTCCATATTCATAAATCAAACAAATTTAGTGAAATGCTTATAAAAATGTAAGGCTTTAAGTTAAATGTTTTTTTTTTATTTACAGTCATCAAATCTTTTGAAATTACATTTTCATCCTTAATATTTATAATGTTATATATTTTTAATGATAAAATAATTCATATATTTTCCTGTTTTTATTGAATTCCTTAAAAAAAGCTTAAATGAATAGTGATTTAATATTATTTTCAATTATTTTAAATCGCAGTAATAAGAACATATGAGAATCTTTGCATTAAATGTTCAAGCTTTTTACTCAAAAGATTATCATACATAAATTTAAAAACTAAAATAAGTAGAACATTTTAAATAAATATTTATAAATAGCATAAAAAGTATCAAAATATTTTGAAAATTTTATCATGGCATACGAAAAATAATAGTTAAAATAATTTATATACAAAAAATACAAGTAATTGTAAAAAAAATACATTCATCACTCCTCTCAAAATAATTAACCATCCAGTGTTATGTATACTAATATTTAATAAAGTGATTTTAGTATTTATTATTGTTAAATATAAGCTATTTTAAATTAATTATTACTTTTTTTTTTTTACTGTTTAACCGACGACTCCGCGGCGACTGCTTTTCGCATTACTTCAGCGACGCCGCCATCGTTTATTAAAGATAAAATACGATTTACAATTAATTTTTAGAATCATTGCCCCCTAAGGGCGCACATTATAATTTTTAAATGAATATAAGAAAAATTTTTTAAAATCTTTTTTGCTTATGGCCCAATTTTTTCCTGAGAAGGTTCTCGACCAGGCTTTGCTGCCCGCCAGTCATGAACCTCTCCGCCTTCGCGGCCCGGTTTGCTAGCCCGCCAGCCTCACCTCTCGGTCTGGCTTCCTTCCTTCTCTCGATGTTGTTGAGGAAGGAGCCTCGTCTTCTGGTCTCTGAACCGTTCGTTCCACAACCTAGCGCGGCGTCTGCGTCCACAAATTCGTCGCCTGCGACGACAGGACGGTGCCCGGTTGATCTGTGGAAGTCCTACTAAGGCCCTGAATTCCCGAGTCTCGTGAGCGGTTTCGAAGGTGGGGAGGGTGCGGTCGAGCCGCCGGCGGCGCTGCCGTCTGATCACCTCCGGATTTCCGGCTGTGAGTCCTGTTGGCCCCTTGTGGCCTGTGTGGTTTTAGCCACCGTTGGTTTGCAGTTTTCCATCTTTTCTCCGTTGTCTTTTTACGCTCAGCTCGAGAAGCTCCGTCGGCGGAGCCGTGCGGGGTCCCGTTCCGTACGCCTTTTTGTTTCAACCGAGATCACTCAGACGGTAACCAACCTAGCTGTGGGCATCCTACTAGCGCCCCAGGGCAAGCCGACTGCTGGGGGGCAGTTTCGTATGGAACTACTGGGGTGTAGGTGGGTCGCGCGTGGGTTTGCTTTTTGGAGTACCTTCTGAGGCTGAGTCTTCGGCCTTTTGTCCGGAGTTAGGGGACGATTTTTGTCCTCTGGTCGCTGTTATTGACCGACCGGCGTTGGTTTTATACAGTTTTCCTTCTATGCCTCCCCCGTTAGCTGGAACGAGTTCTGTTACCAGTCAGCACCGCGTGAAGGTAGGGGTAGGACTTCGCCGACCAAATTAATTATTATCTATTGATATCGAAAATACAGATTTTCACTTTTTGTTTAAATACAATTTACAAAACAATTTCTTATTAAGTATTTAAGGATATATTTCGGGTTTTCAAATAAATAGTCATCTAATCTAATATTGTATTCTGTAATTAGTTATTACTTACAACTAATAAGTATTAATTATATAATAAATATACACAATGACTAATGAGCATTAAACATACAACAACTCGTCTTATGATTATGATTTTATTTGTTTCATGATTTAATTTTGATTAATTAAGTATTGTTATTAAACACACTATATGGTTAATGTTATCTCATACTAGTATAAACAAGATTATGGTTTATTAGGAAGTGATGTCTGGATACTGCAGTAGTGCTGTCGTTCTTAAACAAATGTACAAATATGCAAATTTTCGTTCAGCTAAATCCATTTTATGTTGTAAGTTTCACATTAAAAATGGTAAATTTACCTATTGAAAAATTTAAAGTCAAGAATTTTGTCAGTTTTTTTTTTAAAACTTTAAAACCAGTTATTATGAGTACTGTCTAATGTTATTATTAATAACATTGGTTATTATTTTTTATCGATTAAATTTGAATTCAAATAATGTAAAAACATTAGTTTGTTGACACGTTTGAAAAACAATAATAAAAAAAAATTAAATTAATATTTAATAGTATCTATATCTTATTTGGAATGAAATAAAAAGTTATTTGTGTTTGTAAGGGAGGAGTATTAAACTTTAATAATAAATAAGAGCGGAAATATATTAAATGGCCAGGAGTACAGATAGGCTTCGCTTCAGCTCTGCTTCAAGATATATCTGAATATCTAATTATATTAACTATTACCTAGCTATTAAATAACTGCATACATATGTAAGCTTTATTTTATGAGCTTTTAAAATTGTCAAAACATACATTAATAATTATTTCTTAAGTATAAGCGTTATACACTTAAAGTAAACCATACAATACATTTGTAATGGGTTTCCGTATACTATACGACTAATGTTTTATCGTGTTGCTTTAAAATGCTAAATTGATCAAAGTGAAATGATATTCCCCAATACCTGCAGGTCATTAACCATTACGTCCTATTAGTTATGTTTAAAAAATAATAATTTAATTATTCCTTAGATACTGACTGTCCGAGACTACCAACCGATGAGGCAATTACTATTCCTTTGACTACCTATCAATCAGAACTATCTCAATTAATATTGGATTTAAGAATGTCAAATGCGTTTACATGGAGATCAGCAATTTTAATGCATGACAATTCTATTGGTAATTTTTTTTAACTATTTTATATTTTAACAATTTAACACAGATAAGAATAATATACCTAAAACTTCACATAAATAAAATAATTAATATATTTTTATTTTAGGTGATAGCATTGTACAACATATTGTCACCTCATTAACAAAGCACTATCCAAGTAATATTCTATCACCATCTGTAGCTATATTTGAAATCTATACGCAAGGATCTGAGTGGAAAAGGTACTAAAAATTAATACTTTTATATTATTATATTATTAACTAACGATCTCCATTCAATACAAATTATTTTTTAAATTAAAATACTATATTTTGAGTTACAAGTTTATGACTAAAATATTTAACCTTAATATAGCCTATAATTTATACTATTTAATTTATTAAAATTAAGATTATAAAATGAACACTTAATAATTTAATAATTTAAGATACAATAAAAGACGATACATGTCAGACATGTTAAATTTGGTACGAGTAATACCTATGATAGTAATTTAAGATTACGATAAATTATAAATATTTTCATTCACGGGTCTTTCACGTAGGTATTTCACGTAAAATATTATGGTATCTATTATTAGTATGGTTTATTTAATAAAATTTTTTTATTGATTTATTTTATTTGGAAAATTTTTTTTACTTTTAATAAGTTATACCTATCCAATAAATACCTATACTATATTTAACAATAATTTTGATTGCTAAATTAATGAAAAATTGTTTCAGATAAAATAAAATTTACGATAACATTATATATTATACTAATTAACTGATAGATATAGGATAACTTTTAATTAATCTTGATAATTCGAATGACTGGATGATATAAAATCTGATGCAGTTGGTATTTGGTATAAAAATATAAAATACAAACTGAAAAGTATTGTAATGAATAGTAGAATATCAAATTCAATGTTAAGTTTAAGGAATAGGTCTATGTTAAGTAATAATTGTGGTATAGTACTATAGTATCTACTATTTACTAATTTTAACGCCATTAAAACGTTTATTCAATGATGCTAAAGATCATTTGTGTACTCGTATAAATAATAATTTAAATTTAAAACAAATAAACCAATTAAAATTAAACAAATCAATATAAAAATAATGAATAATTATATTTTTTGTAATCGATTTGTCTTTATATACTTACATGGTTCACAAAAATAACAATTTTTCATCATACATTTTAAGGAGGAAATTATTTATGGAGGATCTTGAACATTTTTTAAAAATGAGTGAAATGAATTCAAATTATATTTGCATTGTTAGTATTCATTATGTACCTTTAATTATAGATGTGGTAAGAATTATTATATATAAAGAATAAAATATTGCATATTCGAGTTATTAATATCGTATATTTTATAATTTTAGGCTAAATCATTGAATTTAATGACTGCTGAAAATAGTTGGCTAATTATTATTCCAGATATAGACTCGTCTAGAAGTAATATATCATCATTTTCAAGTCTATTGAGCGAAGGAGAAAATATATCTTTTATTTACAATTCTACAAAAACAGATTCTAAATGTCTCGTAAGTTAAAAATGATGATATTATATGATAGATAAAACTCTTCAATAATAAAATATTATCCTTAGTTAATTATTTCTCAAGATACTAGAAACGCACTCAAAAAATATTAATGAAACACGTTTTAAATAGATGTTTAATAGAAAAAATTAAAATTGAGTAAAATAATTTTGAAATATCAATTTATGTTTAACGGATTATTTAAAGCTTTGTGCAACATACAATACTATCATTAATTATAAATAATACTATTTAAAATCAATAATGTAACTTACAAAACTCGAATAGATACTTTTTAACTAAATATTAATCCAATATTTACATTTTTCATTTAAACTTGAAAATTAATATAGTTGTTATTTTTATGTTACAGCGTCAATTAGGTGTATTTTGTTGGTTTTAATGCCTACAACTAAATCAGTAAAGTGAACTTAAAATAAATATTGAAGTTAATAATGAATGCCATTAAATGTATCATATCTATTATTGATTTTTAAATATAAAACTTCAATATAAGATCATATTTTGTGATTTTAATAAATGCAAGACTGTTCTTTTCCAATTTTTTAAAGCAAAAGCGTATTTACAAATTTATATATTTTAATCACTTTAATATAACGATCATACTTGACACAAGATACATAGAATTACATAAAACAAAAAATAAATCAATGTATTTATTAAAAAGTATAAAACATAGAACTTTTTTAATAAAATGTATTAATAAAAACTATTTCATCATGATAATCGTATAACTGTATGTCTGTATGTACGTAAAATAATATACGGGTATCTAAAGTAACATTTCAATTATTTTAAATGAAAAAAAAACACACATACATTTAATTTGTAAAATCAATACATTTATTGTAGAATCTTAAAACAAATCTATAGATGTATGTATTTAATATAATGAATTAGGATTTTTCTATTAAGTATCTGAAAAAAAAAATTTAATCATTATATTAAATTTGGGTATTTATATAATAATATATTATCCAAATTTTACATTCCATATTCCATGTACACCTATATTTTTGACAATTAGTTAAGTGTTCAATTCATTGAAAATCCTGAATATATTTTTAGTATTATCTATCCTTCAATGTCTTTTACACACATTGTTCTAAACAATATGCTAACAATACTCATATATAATATGTATAATTCAAATTGTATTTTTCTTTATGATTTAAAAATATTATATATTTTACTGTTTAGTTTTTACTATAATACATATTTTAAAGGGTGGTATCTTGTGTTTGGTGGATGAATTAATGTCTGTATTCATAATGGCCTTCAGTGCATTGATTCAACAAGAAATAGAGTTATCACAACGAGTATCAGAAGAAGAATGGGATGAAATTAGACCATCGAAAATTGATAGGAGACAATCGATGGTATCTTTCATCAAGGTAAAATATAACCATAAAACTAAGTAAAATGTATATAATAATAAAAAAGGTAGTGATTATATTCATTGTTTTTATTATTTGGATATAACTTGACAATTTTTATATTTATAACATAGATATTCAGAATTTATTAAATCGAGATATTAAACAAATATTTACGTATAGTTATGAATACACATGCTGACAGTTGTACACTTTAAACCTAGACTAATTGAAAATGTGATAATCAAAATAAAAAAATTTTAATTACCCATCTTATTATTTTTAAGAATTTATAACTATAATTATTAATAATATAATATTTTATTTTTATTTTTTATTTATTAGAGTTTTTTAACTTTTTTTAATTTAACCGTCATACATACTATTTATAGAACTTTCAATAGATGGCAAACCGCCTCAATTTTAGTGAGATATTTTTTCCCCTTATATACTAATCAAGATTGTAATCTTGTAAATTACATACTTAGTCGTAATGAATAATTACAATTTATTTGTTAAACTGAATTTTTTTACTAAAAAAATATAAAAATGATTAAGGTCGGGGAACATTAATGTACATCAAATATTATACATACAAAATAAATATAAATATAATATATTTTTAATGGTTTTTTTTTTTTAAATAATTTATTAAATGTAATTAGTTCTATTTAATTAATCTAAAAATCAATATTAAATACTATAGCTGCTTAAAAAACAAAAACTTGTATGTTGTTTATAGTTTCGTTTGAATGAATCCGGTATATGTGAAACATGTCAAATGTGGCACATTGATTCTGGTGTTACTTGGGGCCAAGAGTATTTTGGTCATGGATGTTACATTCTTCCAGTGGGTTATTGGAATACAAAAACTGGTTTAAAGCTAACTGAACCACTTTTCTTGCATTTGGCGAATGGTTTTAGAGGAATATCATTACCTATTGCTACTTTTAATGTAAGTAGTATTCGAATTTATAAATTTTTAATATTTCAAACAAAATTAAATACTACCTAATAGTCCAATAAACACGATTTTCAAGTTAAACAGTACATATACCAATTCATTTATTTTAATAATTTTATTTACATAGCTTATTACATGGCAAACTATATTATTTTAGGTAAAAAATATTAATATATTATTACTTTTATATTATATACTTTTAATGTTTACAGTTTCCACCTTGGCAAATCGTAAATTTCAATAAAACTGGTCATTTAATAAGTTATAGTGGTTTAGTTTTCGATATTATCAATCAATTGGCAAAAACATTAAATTTTACGTAAGTATAATGCTTACATTAGTGGTTTATGTACATTTTGTAAAATAATGAAATTGATAAAATTTGAAAAATTATATTTTATTAATCTATTCTCGTATAGTCGTATACTCGTATGTATTGTATCTACCTAGTACCTATGTATTACATGCAACTTAGGTAAAAATAAAAATGTAATTAGAAAATATTGTAAATTATTTATACATAACGTGTTTCAAAAATATAATACGTTATAAATAGATATTATAATATTTTTAAGTAGTAGATTTTTAATGAGAATTAATATTTTGTAGTTATAACGTCATTGTCATATCTCACTCGGATCAAATGAATACTACGAAAGCTCTGTTTATGCAAAATGTAAGTCAATTGTTCTTAATTTATTTATTTTTAATAACTAATCATTAAATATTATGTCATAGAATATATTGGGTGAATATGACGCTGTGGTCTCAAAACCCATATGGGATAAAATGATAGATCTCGTTCGATCTGAAAGAGTAAGTTTCAAATAAAAATCGTATGTCAAATACATTATTAAATCGATTTGGAAATTTTTTAGAGTTAGACTATTTTACTTCATTGTATAGTTATTCCTTCAAGTTATTACTAGGTGTAGTTTGTTTTTGATTTAAATGTGCGTTATTTTTACAAAATTGATTTATTTATAGAATGAGTAAGTCTATAGCTATAGAAAACAAATTCGACAAAATAATTTTTATTTGCTTGTCTAACATGTTATAAAGATACTTACATTATACATATTCTAATAGTGTATAATGATTAATTGAAAGCTTATTTTTACAAATTAGGTGTTCATTGCAGCAGCTGCATTTGCTATAAAAGAAACGAACCAAATATTTATCAACTATACAACACACATAAGTCTAGAGCCACATCACATTTTAGTGGCTAAACCAAAGGAACTAAGCCGAGCTTTGTTGTTTACTGCTCCGTTTACGTTATTGGTAACGTCAATGCTAAAATATAATTATTTACCTAGGACCTAGGTTATAGAAATATTTTTATTAGCGATTTGTATCAATTCAAATATGCTAAATCTTTTAAATTATAATATGAGTTTAACAAGAGCAGTAGACAGTGTATATTTAGAAAGATGCGGGTGGATGCCCATAGACCTTAATACTATACTAATTTATTAAAGGGTAATGTAATACTTATACATAGGTACTAAATTGTATTTGACTGATTACCATATTATTAAGTTGCAATAAGGAATACCTATAAGGCTATAAAATTAAATATAATGTTGTCATAGTATTATTATCATATTCTTTATGATTAATTTATGTATGTCAATTGTTACGTTTTTACGATGAAGTTGAAATGGTTTTAGATCACGGAGAATGGTATTTTTATTGGTTGTTGGTTAATAAAATAACTCAAACTATCTATAAGATAGTGAGTAGGTATATCCGAACATTAAAATTGTTTTAACGTTACGTCGTCACTACTCACTACGTTAATATAGTACCTATATTATCTGTATATATCATGTATGTTAAATGAAAATATAATATATCAATTTATTTAATAATTTTGGTTAAAATTTACATTTTTGGAGCATGTTTAAACATTTTTGGTGTTGCATGGCTTTCTCATGAGTTATGATAAATCATATGCTTGTGGATTTGGTATTTTTAAACTCCATTAAATGTTAACTGCATAAATTGGGTTAATTCAGTCAAATATAAAATACATGTTTAAAATTAAATCGAATCTTAATAATTATTGTATTATTTGATTTTCTGTAGGCTGTAACCAATAACAAACTTATTCCAATAAAAAAATTTGTTTTTGATGCACTAAGAAATTCCTGTGTGAGTCCCTCTTTAAAATGAAAAATTTAAAAATAAGCTTTAAAATTCACATGCTTGATTGTAGTATTACTTATGTACAAAATTTTAGAATCATGAGTACGATAAACATGGTTGTGGATCGTTTACACAATTACACACACATTACTCTTTATTAATGTAGATTGGTAGGTACACAAATACGTGTTCTAAATGTTTAATTTATTAGGAGTTATACGGTAGAACGTATAACTCACTCTCTAATAACAAGATAATAAAGAATATCTGTAATAATAGATTACCTATAGACCTATATCATTAAGTATTTTCACTATTTATGTAATATAACATATAACTATTTAATGTCTATGTAGCTGTTCCTACGTATTTACATTTTTTTTTTTTTTTTTGTAATTTTTTAAGTTAATTTTGTTCGGTTTTATTTTTTTCTTCATCTTTACAATATATTATTATGTAAGTAGGTACTAGATACCTATCTATACCGGATATACCTATAGGCTATAATATATTTTTTAATAATTTAAGCACTTCATAATATTATTATATAGCCTAATTAGTGTACTTTCATATTTTTAAGAGTTGATTAAATGTTTAAGTATAACTTATTCTATAGGTATTTTACTGATATCGCAAAATTATTAAACAATAAATAATTTGTTATTACAGTTTTTATAATTTTTCCAGACTTGGTTATGCATAGCTATTGTGGTTGGTCTAATGGGTCCTATATTGAATGTATTTCATATTCTAAGTCCATACTATGAATATCACAACATAAGTAGAAAAGGCGGTCTTAACTCACCATTAAATTGTTTTTGGTATGTTTATGGCGCACTGTTGCAACAAGGTAAGTCTGATAAAAATCTTCAATTACCTCTATATACCGGTAGGTTTTAACAGCCGATTCTAATCCAATATAGTCAATAGCTGATAATAACTATAACTAGAATTTCTCAAAAGTTTAAGTTATTTATTCTTGTCCGGTACGATCAAATAATATTGTATATCTGTGCCTAATATTACTTATATTAGATATAGTGTTAGGTATCAAATTAGTTTAGGCTGTATATCGTTTATAAATCATAGTATTCTTATAACAAAAGTTCTAAAAATAATTAATTTACAGACAATTTAACAATATTTTATCAATTATCATATTATTGTCTATTAAATACCTATGCTCTATACGCCTTATGTAGAATTTTCAAATTAATAGGTATTAATGTATTATGTAGAATATTATATTATACATCCATTATATCCAATATTTATATCATATTAATAGGTACCTACCAATTGATATGTTCAGAAGTTTAGTATTTTTGATTCAACGATTCAGTATATATTTGTTAAAAATTTTTAAAAATGCGATCCTACAAAACATGTTTAAAAGCATACTGAAAATGATATACTTAATTTTTAATTTTTGAAAACCATACGTTTAATCTTCATTACAATTTATCGTTGTATCATTAGTGACTTATTAAAAATTGATTATCTACAAACTAGGAGGAGCCTATTTACCTGATGCGGATAGTGGTCGATTGGTAGTTGGCACCTGGTGGTTATTCGTTTTGGTCATCGTTACCACCTACAGTGGAAACTTAGTGGCGTATTTGACGTTTCCTCAAATGGATACAATGGTGTCTAATGTAGCCGATTTGATGGCTCGTAAGGCTCAAGGGTATTCATGGGGAATACCGAAAACATCAAATTTACATTCATTACTCACAGTAAGAACATTTTCAAAACATTACGTTATTACCGTTATTAGTAGCTACAATACATACTTATTATATTTAAATATCTAATTATTGAATAGGCAATAGTTTTTCTTGAATTACGATGCAATTAGTAAATATTTTACTAGGTAGATATAATATTGAAAAACCACTAACGTTACACTACCTCCTCCCTATGTATTTTTGTAAGTATTTAAACAGAGATCATGCAAATTCTGAAAATGATCATATTAATATTGTAGTTTAGTTCAATGGTGGGAGACGTAGCGTAACGCGCCTACGTGATATATTATTTATTAACTATGAAATAGAATGTTATATGTTTATTTTTCAAAATAAAACTCAAGTACCTACCTGTACTTATACGGTATCTAATGATAACATTTTTTACACGATTTACAACTACCATGGAGTCGTTAATACAATATAATTTTTCTGTCAAAGTGTATGCGGACTTTAATAATAATTTAATATTTCATAAATATTTAAAAAAATATATAATACCAGAATAGTAATTAGTTAATTCAACATTATACTATAAATAGTGATTATTATAGTATAAAATGTTTAGTACCTACTTTTTTATTTTAAAGTATTAATAATAATAATAATTATAATATTTGTTTATTGTTGAAAAATGTTTTCAATTATAAAGTTGTTGTACCTACTAAGTTTTGTTTGTTTTAATAATAGTGAACAAATCACAAAAAAATTAATTAAAACACGTCTCCTTAAAAGCTATAAGAAGTGCCTGAGGAAAGAAAATAACAATAGATCATAATATAATACCTTATTAATGAACTTTTATTTTTTTTTTCATTTATTTAACAATTAACTTTTTTAGTAATAATAATAATAATAATAATGGGTGATTTACTAATGTAGATGAATCGTGTTTGACATAATTATACAAAAAATTATAGTTGAAAACATTCATAATATTTTTTGTATGTTTTGTATTTCAATAGTTTCAAAAAGTAATTATGAATACTTAATTTATATTTTATGTAAAATTCAATGAACTTTTATTTAGAACTTATATTTTTATTTTAATACTACTTAAATATTAATTTTAAAGATAATGATATTAATATATTATTATTAGTGTTAACATTAAAGATTAAAAATAGATAAATTTGGATTATTGCAATGTAGGTTAACTTTTTAGTTTTTAATTTAAAATATGTTTAATAGCTTTATAAATATAGCAACATTTTACTAGTTGATTCAATAAATGTGTACATCACATTTTAAATTATTGTCAATAAATATACTAAGATAGTAAAATATTGTATACAATTAACTATTTAACGTGCTATACTTACACTAAATTTATTATATTGAGTTATTTTTTACAAAATTGTATAATAAATTATTTATCAAAAAAATTACCTAAAAATCAAATTGTTTATTGTAAAAGAATTTAATACTAATTTAAAAATTCTAATAACCTATAAAGTATAAATATACTAAATATACCTATCTATTAAAGTACTTTCAAATTTGTTAATTAAAATTTAAATGAAATATTATATGTCTGTAGTTTGAAAACATGCTTTTGTCATTATTTTTATAAATCGGAATAACAAAAAATCCCTTAAATGATTGATAGAATACCTCTTTGTAAAACAAGATATTAAATATTATGGATAGTGGCACAGCTATAGAAATATTTCTATTAATATCTTAATATTATTAATAGTCTGATTTTTATTTAATCTATGAGTAGTCATTACCAGATGATACGATGGTCAAAGAATTAATTAAAAATGCTGAAAACCATGAGGAGTTGTCACGGTCGGTTATAGAAAGAGTAAGATCTGGTAAACATGCATTTATTCATCGTCGAACCAACCTGATGTACATTATGAAAGACGATTTTCTTAAAACTAATAGATGTGACTTTGCTATAGGTAAACTAATTAACAAATATTTTACTTATAATTGTAGATGAAAAATTTAAGAGTGATTTACAGGAAATGAAGATTTTGCAGAGGAAAAATTGGCAATGATGTTAGCAAAAGAAAGCCCTTATCTTAGCAGAATAAACAGAGAGTAAATATAATTCAATAAATAAGTTAAAAATACATTGTATAAATAATTTATTTGGATTAAGGTTGAAATAAACTTATGTTTTTAAAGATAAAAAGTAAAAACAGAAGTTCACTCATTTATGATTTAATTAAACATTAAATTAACACAGATCTATCATTTTTAATATAAATTCACATATTCAACTCAATTGTAAATATTGTGTTGCTCAGTGCTTGTATACATCTTAAATTATGCATTAAAACAAAAATATTAATAATATAGTTTATTTTCTATCAAAACAAAATAATTTAAATTTAAGCAAATGTAAATATATAAATGCGAAAAAATACCTAGGTATGTACTATCACAGTTTTTTTTTGTAGACATTATAAAAAAAAATAACATAAGTTTGTTTACTATATATGAGTTTTTCAATTTACAATACAAGTGTTTCAAATATATTTTTTTTAAATAATAAAAAAATGTTTAGTGTAAGAAAAAAAGGTATTAAAATATTTAACTTGTATATTTATTAGTTATTAGTACTCTTAGAGAAAAATTTTAACCTCATTTTGTCAACATGTTTTTAGTTTAAATATAAAAGTATAAATTGTTATTATTAAATCTTTAATGTTATTACAGGATTGAAAAAATGCATAAGGTTGGTCTTATAAATAAATGGTTGGTGGACACTTTACCCAAAAAAGATCAATGTTGGACTAATACACAATTAGAAGTAACAAATCATAAAGTAAATTTAGATGATATGCAAGGATCGTTTATTGTTCTGTTATTGGGTGAGTCTACTTACATAAACAATTATTTATTTATTACATTTTTCTCTTTATTGATATGTTTAAGGTGTATTATCATCATTAGTGTCATTTGTATTTGAATATATACTAGAAAAATACATAAATCGACGTCAAATAGTAATAACACCATTTATAAACTGATATCGAACAACTGTATGTTTAACAGTCTTTTTCTTTTATTAAAATAAATAGATAACAATGGTAATTAATATTCTTACAAATAATTAAACACATAAATATACAAATAATTCTATACTTATATATAATATATTGAAATTATAAATACCATTTCTTCGTGTTGAGTTATTACTTCAAATGATTATTTTTACCAGTAATATCACCAAGATAGGTAAAAAGATTTTTTATTTTATAACTTCGTTTACGATTGGTAAAATAATGCGATACTACATTGTCATCTGTAAAAATTTACAATTAATTAATAATTATCAACAAATATTTGTAAGATATACATTAAAAATCTCATGTAATAAATACTTTATAAATATAATATCATTAATATCTAATTGAAATATATTTTTTAATTTTTGTTTTGAAAATATGTTTTATTAATTTTTTATAGTCTTATTGATCTGTAATAATATATACTACAATTAAGAAAGTTATTAGTAATAATTAAGTTTTATTTAGTCTTAAAAATTTATTATTACTTATGTTATGATAAAATCATCACTTTCAAATATTAAAAAATAAAATAATATATCTTATTTAATTTACAGTTCTTAAAACAAAATACTAAGAGGTTGTCTCTTATTTATTGACCATCTTATTAACAAAACCCAAACCAAATTTAATGTTCAGAAGAATCCATTTTACTCAGTTGTTTTTAGTATTAAAATGAATTGACCTATTTTAAAATGTTAAGGTTAGAATATTATTTGGAATCTTTTAAAAGATTTTGAAGTAAGTTATGAGGTATTTATTTTAAAATTGTAATTATTTTGTAAAATCTTGCTTCAAAATTAAAGTATTAAAAAAGGGGGTAAGGATACATTTTTTTATATAGTCTTAACATTTTATTTTAGATGTAAATGATTTTAATAATAAAAATAATAAAGTAGTATAAATTCTTATGAACATACAATTTGCTATACTACTTATAAGATGATCAATACACGGTGGAACAACTTTTCAATTGTGAATTTAATTAACTAAAATCTTTATTCCATATGCTATTTTATTGTTTAATATTTAAAAACAATAATTCTATTTTAATTTAAGAATTAATATGTGAGACTGACACAACAAATGTTGGTATGACATATTCTTATTTGTATTATCATTAATTATACTACTTCATTTTCACAATCCTATTCAAAAACTAATCAATAGTCTATACATGTACTTAATAATAATAAAAATTAAAAATTGATAATTTTAATTAATGTATTTAAAACATTTATAAACTCATATAAAAATGTCTTTAAGTTGCAGATAATATGTAAACAATGGTGTAATTTTGTAATCAAAATATTTATATAGTTTTTATACAAAAGTTTTCTTTAATACTTAACTTATTTATTTTTTAAACATTTTAGGATTAATAAACAAGTTAAGTACATGTATACAATTTTAATAACATATTTAAAGCAAGACATTATATTATATATTATTGTCAATGATACAGTAAATATATTATAAGATTTGACTTTTTTTAAATTATCCATGAAAAGTGTCACTAAACAAATATACCTATTGAAGGTTGTGATATATAACAAACTGAAAGCTACTAAAGTTTAACACATCTAATTAATAATTATTTAAAAAGATGAAGAAAAATAATGATCATCTGTATAATAAATGACCTACTGGGTATTTTAAGATTTAGTTTGTGATTTATTGCCACAAATATGATACTATAGTAATCGCCAACAAAACATAACTTTAAATAGTTTGAATATAAATATTTTTATCTCTTAAAGTATGAAAAAAATATGTGTTTCACAATTCTATTTGTGATTTTCACACTATAGTAATGATTCATTGATTAGTACAAATTCTTATTCTCTTCACCAATTGTTTGGTGATTGTCAAACAATAAACATTAAAGATCTCTGCATAAATCAAACCAATCAATAATAGTTGATTTAGAATGACCAGTAAAAAAACATTCCACATTACAGGAAGATTTTGATTCTTAAATTTGGTCTAAACATAGATTTAAGGTTTATATAGGTAGAGAAAATTTATTTGTAACATGGACATCTTTTAATAGTGCACGCACCTGATAAATTTGTATTCTCATGTCTCTTCAAATATTTTTTATTTTTTTATCATTTTTATCATTTGGTACTACCAAATTGTTTACAATCATAAATTTCTTGTTATATCTTTGCAATAATTCCTAATTATAGAATATTTGTATTAAATATTTGATTCCTAGAGTTCTTAGCATTTTTAATAGGTATTATATTTTTTAACATAAGGTCAATTTTATGTAAAACACAATACTACAGTTGGATATATTTGGACGTTGTAGTTGTCATTCACACTAATTAACAATATCATAGATTGGTATAATCAAATTTTAAATTATGCACACACTATCCGAGGAAAATTACAATAGACTATAGTAGATCTGGTGAGTAATACGCTTTACCAATGCCAAATAATTCAAATTTAAAAATATATTTATGGCTATAAATAGATATTTAGAATTAGAAAAAGTTTTCAACTTACCCACATTAGTGATAGGTAATGTATTATCGTTGGCTGATAATGATAATATAAACATAAAGGGTACCATCCACAAACACACTGTAAAGTATGAAAAAACCTAAAAAAGTATTTGTATATTATACATGTGTTTAATCAGACAACAATAAAATTCTACAAGTTAATAAAATGTATACATACTTCTGATAATGTTGAATAACGCTGTCGGAAAAATTTAAAAGCTAGGATGTGATTTCCAATTAACAGAATAATTGACGAAATAAATGACAGTGATGTTAAGTTGAAGTTTGGAAAGTCAATGAGCAAAAAGTAGTATACTATATGGCTCAAAAGACCCAAAGCAATTAGTGTTAAAGGTATATTGTCAAATAAATACAATCCTATATGACATATTATCACAACCTGCAAAAATGTACAAACATTTTATTATTTAAGTGAAACAATTTTATTTTTAACTTTAAGGTTATTTAATATTATAATTAGTTTATAGAAACAACAAAGAAGAAAAATAAAAAAATATGATTTTTTATATTCTAATAATTAGATTCAAATTGATAGTTATGATAAGTCACAACTTATTAGAATTGATGAAAATATACTACTGCATTAGTTCAAAACAACAACTTCGTATTTAATCTTACATGAATTGTCCATTTAATAACTTTTTTTGTTAATGCAGTGTGTTCTTCAACAAATTCAGCCAAGTAATAAACTCCAGCACCTGGAATATAAAAAAAAAAATGAGTTGATGCAATATATTATATTGTTATAACCCCTAAATTTTTGTAAATTTAAAAAATTAAAACCCATAGGTAATAAAAATTTGTGTTCAAAAATAGATTTCTATATTAGGTAGGTAAGTAGTATAGAACTTTTTGATTTAAAACAGACCGAACCACAGATTAAGAAGTCTATGTGAATGACATAGATAATAATAACAACAATAAAAACGAATATAATGAATGGATTTAACACTATACTTAACATCATGGCATGAAAATGATAGTTTTGGCATTCTAGTTTCCACAAATATTTGAAAAGCTGTAATAATAATGTTTTAACGTTGAAGTGAATGGATTACACTTATTAAATAGATTGACATGCTCAATCGACAACGAAATTAAATGCACAACATCCACAGTGTAATAAAAATCTTAAGCATGCGATCAATAAAAATCTAACTCACCGATGAAAACCGAAATCAATGCTATCTGCAGTACGGCAGCAATAGCAATTACTAAAACCATAAAAATCATTGCTTGGCGGCACACGGACGTGGAATGTTTGGTACTTAACTAATTTTTTTTTTTAAATAGAATCCTTATACTGACTACGAGGCTGTTTCCAGGCATCAGTCTTAAAAAAAATAAAAAAAACGATCTATCAGACTTTTCACTTCAAATGGCACGAGTGCACGACACACTAAACTATGAAGTTTTTGTGACGTACTCGTTGACCATTTCGATGTTTTTAGTCATTACGATTCTGGCTTCTATGCCAGTCCAGTCAGCGGCGACGGCGAAGCATATATTTTACCAGCTACGAGTAATCAAATATTACATTTTGACTTATGAGATAGTGAGTAGTGATAACGTCAGATAACGTCTATAGTACTAGTTGGCAGCATTGAACTCTATATGATAACTGGAATGCTCACCAAGCAGTGTTGCCCGAAAGAGGATGTTAGAATGAGATAGCACATACTAATGGTGTTACTATCTTTGTCTTGCACATGGCGCTAATGTCTTAATTTCATATTTTACCGCGATATTATTTTAGTTTGGTTCTTAAAATGTAGTTGCACCTCATTATTTTTTTTAACTTCCACAAAATATTTTTTATTAATTTAATAAAATATAAATAATTAAATGATAAATAAATAGTTTATTAGTTTATAATTATAATTTAAAATAATATAACAAGTATTGAAACATGTTTTTTTGTAGACTTCTGCATTTTTTTGTCATATAAAGGAAGTAATAGGAAATTTTAAGTTGGGAATAAATTAAGTTGTAAATTGAAAGTTAGAAGGTTTTAGTTCATAACTCAAGCATATGAAATAACAACTGCATTTTTAGTAAAATAATATTTATTAAAATATAAACATAGTATTTATAATATTAATCATAATTGAAATAAAAGTGTACTTACGCTATTTACCTGGAGCTATATCTACTACTTACTTTAGATTGTACTTACTACTTTCCTAACTTAAGCTTAATATTGTAGATTTATAATTTAGGAAATATTAGTACTGGAAATATCCAGAAAAACAAAATCTGCAATACATTTTGTTATACTTCATGGCCAAATTTCCTAAAATAAATAAATATTTAAAGATACTATGATACTTTGTAGATACTTTAACTATATTCATAACCTTGGAGTTATATGATCTGTTAAGTTAACTAATGTAACTTATGTATATCCAACAATTTTATCAAAGAACACAAAATTCTTAATACATAATGGCCATGTAATAATATAAAAAATATATAAATACTTGTTTTTATTAATTGTATAATTTACTTACTTCTCGTTGCAGAATTCTCCTTTCTTTAATTTTTGGAGTTAAATGATTTGGGAAATCAAATACAGTTGGTACAGCAGATTTTATTAACATTTTTTTCCCACTTACAACTGCTGAATAGAAGTCAGTTTCATTGAAATGTAAACTACATAAAGTTGTATTGGAACTAGGTTTAAAATCTTTCCTTCGAACAGCATGCACCCATTTTTGAAGCCTCTCTTTATCTTTAAGAGGGAACCTTAAATATTAAAATAATAGATGTAAATCTGTTTAAAAATATCAATGAGTAAAATCAATAACACCATATAATAACTTAATACTAACTTGTGAAATGACAAGTCTTTTCTAACATCACTAGAGCTAGCACAATTAAAGGCACTACAAAAATTCACCATTTTAAGTCTTAACTGCACAGTAGGTACACACTATTTTAATTATTTTTAAAACTTTGAGAACGCAGAAGGCAGAACAAAAGTCAAAACGTTAAACGAACAACGAATTTAAAATGTATTGGTAATCAATTCATATAACTATGTGTGATAAAAAAAGATAGCAACACCATTCTTATCTGCTGTCTTTTTCTAACACGCTATCTCGGTTATGTTTACATTGGTCTTATGACTGGTGAGCATTCCAGTTATCATATAGAGTTCAATGGTTGGCAGCGAGTTTGTTTGCGGGCAAATGTCCGGAAAATGATAAGGAGACCCGGCGAAAGATAGCGGGAAATTTGTATTTATTGTCGACGTATCAGCTACTCTTTGAAACAATTTTACTACAATTATATTTTAATCGTTGGCTTGTGAGAAAATCAAAAATGCTGTTTAATGTTTGATAATATGTATAATGATTATAAATTTATAAACTATGTATACCATTATTCTGGACGTAGATTTTGGGTACCAAACTAAAACTACAAATTGCATAGACCTAGTAAAATGTGATGATAAAAATACAAGATCAAAACAAATCGAAGTGTCCTACCATAATGGATGTGTCCAACTTGAATTAATTGATATATCATTATTATTTATTGGTAATGAAAAACGACTGTGAGCATAGACAGTATATTACTATATTAGTCTAAATCACTAAGTTTATTTTATATTATGCTTTTTTGGTAGGTCTGGCTATGAGTTGAGTATAATTTGTTTTACTGGTAGTAATATGGCGGCTTAAACTAATTTTTGCCGAAAATATTGCATTCATTATATTATTAGTATTTAATTATTATAATAAATAATAATATATATTATTATTTTATACTGTGTTGCTGGCTATATTATTGTAATTCACTTTTTAGCCAATACCCTTTAGCCACATTGCTGAAAAAATGTGACTGGTTAATGGTATAAATAGGTAATAGGTATATTAAAATTAATCTACGTATCACGTATCATTGCGAAATATCAAATTCATAACACACGTAAATATTTTAAAGCCCACAACTAATGTTTTTAAATTATAACAAAATAATGAACACTGTCATTATCATGTTATTTCTTTAAAATTTTAACTTTAAATTAAATAAATAAAATATTTATCGTCACATATCTTTTAGATATTTTAGTTTCAGTTTAAGCTATTGATGGGGAACATTGTATTAAATATTCACACCATAGCTACCTATACAAATTGTACATTTTATAACATTTTCATTATAAATTGCTTGTAAATTGTACATTTTTGTGATTTTGACGTATTTTTTAAGATATTTAAACTTCAAATTTTCACCAAAAAAATTATACCTATATATTTTTATACAGCTATAGTCTATAAGAACTATTTATGTGGGATTTTGCATAAATTTTCAAAAACTTTGACCCAATGAATAATTTTTATCAATATTTATATAAAAAATAGGAAGTTTCTCATATCTATAAATAGGTAGTTTACCTAAAAGAGTTAATGTCGTAAAAATTTGACCTTCAAATACTCATAAAATTAACTTAGCTTTCCGGTGGAATTTTTTTCTATACAAATTGAAAAACTTACAAGGATTTTTGTCTTAAATTTTCAAATCTTAGGTAAAAAAGAATTTTTGTAAATTTTTAAAAATAGTTTGAATATTTTTGATACTTTGAAGAATCGTTATTTTTTGTCTAATTACTAATATTATCTAAATTTGAAATATTTAGAAAACTAATAGTGTATTTAGGCTGCTGTAAAAATAATTTATAAAAAACTTATATTAAATTGTCAAGCTCTTATGTGTTATTTTAATTTAATTTTTTTTTTTAATTTTAAACTACAGAATAATTGTAAAAATTTTGATTTTTAATAAATTTTAAAAACATTTTATATTTAAATGCTTATAAAAATAAATGAGTCAATTGCATTTTTATTATTTCAATTTTTCAAATTGTTATAAAAACAACTTATAAAAGATCTGATATTTATTTTAATCCTAACGCTAAATTTTATTTTTTAATTCCAGTGAGAAAAACTTATTAAAAATCTTGTTGAGAATTTATTTGAAAAGTATAGCTGAAAAAAACAGACTTATTCCCTCGATGAAACTTTTCTAGATAAGTACCTAGTTATACCGTGAGCGCCGTATTATCGGCATAATAGATAAGACCGCGTTTATAAATAGGTACGTATAATGTGTATATACTATAAACAGAACACAAAAAACGGCAGTAGGTATAGAAGTGGTTCTACAACAACCAATTTATCTATTACGTTTAATATTTAACGTATATACATATACCTATATTTATCTACTTTTTCTTAGCTGTACCTAAATATTATTGTCCAGGAGGTAAAAATCCAGACGAATGAGATCTTAAATATTGTGAAAGATTTAAATATTAATGCCAACAGAATTTTTTCTTTACATTTGTGAATATAAGTTATAACTCTTGATGAGTCCAAGTACATAATTATTGATTGTTTTATCGTGTTCAAATCAATGAGTTGTTTATAGTTTGAACATTGACAAGTATTCTTTGGTATAAATACTGCAGACCACTGTAATATAGGTAGTGTTATAGTTATTAAGTTTTGAATACATTTATATTTTGATTATAGCCTGTTAAAATGAAGTTCTGGTTCTACAATTTTTTCAAAATATTTATTCACATACAATTTGAATGTGGGATAGTATTTTATATATTTTATATAGAGTACCTACTTATTACAAATAAATACATTAACACTCATTTAAAGCAAATGTACTGATATAATTTGTATTAATCAAAATTTATTTATGTATGAAGAAATATTTATATTATAATTAAGGTACTGTTAAATTTACAATTTTAGTTATTTTTAGTACGAAAAAAATCAAGGTCCATCTTCATTCAACCACTTTTTTAAATACATTACAACTGTTTCACGAGCTTTCGTTAATTGTGGAGGGTCCGATGGAGTTGAAGGATATACATCTGCACAATGAGATACTCCTAAAAATAAATTATTTGTTTATTTGTTTTCATATTAATCAAAATTTTTAATTTAAAAAAATAGCATAACTTAATGAAAGCTTAATAATTACCTTCAATAAAAATTGAAGCGGAATTGTTTGCTTTTGGTTCAATAAGACCTAATCCGTTCCATGGATCGATAGACCCGTGTAAATAAATAATCCTGCTTGTTTTGTTTTTTAAGTCATGATACATCATGGCTGTCTTTTCAACTGCCTTTTCCAATGAATTTATATCAAAACTATACAAAATAATTTTATAGCTATAAAATATTAATTAAATTATCTCTGGAGTATTGTTTTTGTTAATACTATAGATTTCAAAATTAGTTAAGTCATTTAGCATAGTAGTTTCCTCATACTATTCATATTCACTTCGCCGAATTTTAATTTTCCAATATTCTGGTTTGCTAAAAATTATATACTGGTTAGTGGTTTTACGATATTTGAAAACATTAGCATTTAGGTGACGTCTCAATTTTCTATGAATATATCAATTTTATTAATTTTTAACCGTGTTCTCAATTCATCGAAAAGTGACCATAATATTAACGACACTTAGAAATCGGAATCAGCGACTTGAATATT